TGAAGGTGATGGTGCTGATCCTCCTGGGGCCAGCGGCGGGCCTGCTGGACCTGCAGCCCTACGACGAGGACGCCCCCGGCGTCGAGCTGCTCGTCGCGCCGGGCGCCGCCGTGATCGTGAGGACCGATCAGCTGTCCTGCGCGCTGTCCGCTCCTGGTGGTCGGGACAGGCTCGGGTCGGACGAGAGATCCTAGGCCTCCCAGATGGGTCCGAGGATCGCGCCGCATCGCCGATGCATCGGCTATGCGGCTCGATGTGAAGCCCGACTTTTTCCACGCCGACGTCGCCGATGCATCGACGATGCGGCGCGATCCTCCGACCCCATCTACTCGGACCCCAGTCTAGAGGTCTCCAGAGATCCACCTCCACCTCCCCCGACCTCCTCGCGTCGTGAAAGAGTCGCCACGGCAGGTCCGATGAAGACTGTTCCAGGCTCGAGATCGTTAGCCATTTTTGAATGTCCCAGGGCGCCTTCGTAGCCCGCGGCTGCATCCGCCTTGAGGCTCTGGCCAGACCGAACCCCAGGACACGTCCGGGGGTGGACGAAAGGTGGGGGTGGTTGGAAAGGGGTGTGTGAACATTGCTGCGTACAGCTGACTTAGGCTTCGTCGCGGGCTCCCCGTCTCCCCTGACAGGCGTATCAACCAGGAGTGTTGTGATTCACGCGCCACGCGGTGTTTGACGCACCATCACCAGTACGGGAGGGCGCTTTCCTCGATACTTGGGCGCCTCTGGCGCAGGGTGGCGGCGGTGGAGCCAGCTGCGTGAGCTCACTCGCTACATCTCCTTTGCTGAGCCGCCCTTCGTTTCGTTCAACCCGACAGGTGCTACGCCGCGACCTGCTACCTGCTACAGCCCGACATCCTGAAGATGCACCGCGAGCGCATGCAGGAGCACCTGACGCCGGCGGCGCTGAGCCTCGACGCGTGGGTAGAGGAGCGCCTGAGGGAGATCAAGGAGGCAGAGCCGGCGGAACAGGACTTTTGAGGGACAACAATCGGTAGAGGATCCCGTTTTATTCCACGTACGTTTCCCAAGATGAGGGTATGTTTTCTGGTGCAACGCCTCCGCCTCCTCCTTATTTACCCGCTTTCCTCGCATTCTCATGCTAGACTCAGCTTAGTCATACTCAGGTCCACTCATACTCAGCTTAGTGATCCTCAGCCTTTCTCACACTCGTCCACTATACTTTCGATCACACACATAGACTCAGTCATACTCAGACTCACTCCTAGCCATACTCACTCATACTCAGATCCGCTCATACTCAGACTCACGCGCACTGAGACTCACGCAACCGTACCACGCACTCTCAGATAGACTCATGCTCAACATATTCATATCTGACCCACACTCTGGCACCTATGCTCAGACCAGGTCGTACTCGCTCCCAGTACCCATACTCGCCCATGATCATTGCGATGGAGCAGGCGTGGCATTCGGGCACAAGAACGGGCTGGGACACTTGCCCATTCGCGGCAGGTTGTGGGCATGTCTCGAGCGAGGCGCTTGCTTGGGTTCGCCGGCTCCTCTGCTTTCGCAGCCCCGTGTTCACCGCGATGTAACAGGCGTGGCATTCGGGCACCTCACGGGGGATCCGCCTGGGGCTAGGACACTTGTCCGCTCGCGGCCAGGTTGTGGGGGTGTCTCGAGAGAGGCGCTCTCTTGGCGTCGCTTGGCGTCGCCGGCCCCTTTGCTTTGAAAGCCCCGTGATCACCGCTATGTAGCAGGCGTGGCTCTTGGGCGCCTCAAGGGGGAGCCGCCAGGGGGCAGAACACCTGCCCGTTCGCGGCCAGGTTGCGAGGACGTCTCGGGCGAGGCTTTCGCTTGGCGTCGCCGACTCCTTTGCCTTGAGAGTCCCGTGATCACCGCGATACACCATGCGTGGCATTTGAACAACCTAAGGAGGAACCGTCAGGGGGCAGGTCACCTGCCTGTTTGTGGCCAGAGTGTGAGGCTGTCTTGAGGGATGCGCTCGCTTGGAATCGCAGGCTCCTCTGTTTTGGGAGTCCCGTGACCAATGCGATGTACAAGGCGTAGCATTTGGGCTCCCCACAGGAGCCGCTATGGGGGAGATTTCAAGAATGTCTTGAGAGAAGGGCTCGTTTTGCACTTCCGACATATCTCCTGTCAGAACCCCATGATCACCGCGATGAAGCAGGCGTAGCATTTGGGCACCGCAAGGGCGAGGGAACGCTCAGTCGCCACAGGCTAGGACTCTCACTCAGCTTGTCACAGGGGGAGGTGCCAGGAAATGAGATGCGCACATAGGGATTTTCAAGATTCATATTTTTGAAAGGGCGCTTTTCACGTGCGCTACACCCCCATGCCAAGGGGGGGTCCAGACCCCCCCCCTCCCTGCGCAAGGGGGAGGGGTGGTCCTGGACCCTCCCCCGACGACGACGACGACGACGACGACGGCAACCACGACGACCACGAAGACGACCACGACCACCACGACGACCACAGCGACCCCGACGACCTCGACGACGACGCCGACCCCGACGACCATGACGACCACGACGGCCACGATGACCACGGCCACCACGACGACCACGACAACCACCACGACCACCACGACCACCACGACCATGACCACAACCATGACCACGATGACCACGACGACTACGACGACCACGACGATCACGACGACCACGAAGACCACAATTATGACGACCACAACCACCACGACGACACCCGACGACCACGACGTCCACGACCACCACCGCGACGACCACGACGACCACGACGACCACGACGACCAAGACGACCAAGACGACCACGACGAACTCGACGACCACGACGGCCACGATGCCCGCGATAGTTTAGACGACCACGACGACCACCACGGCGACCACAACCACCACGACCGCCACAACCACAACGATCACGACCACTACGACCACTACGACCACCACGGCCACCACGGCGACGACGACCACCACTACCACCACGATCACAACCATATGACTATGGCCATGACCACGACCGCATCCCTCCCCCTTGCCCCGGAGGGGGGGGGGGTCCGTAACCGCCGCTCCCCCCAGGGGGGTGGGGGGAGGGGGGGGGTGGCATGGGGGACCTGGGTTATGGAGGGGGCCTCTGGGTTAGGAGGGGGGGGTAGGTCTTGTAAGTTTGCACGCTGATTTTTGCAGAGGACTTGGCCAGAGAAGCGTGCATATAACTTTTGACCTGCGTGATCAGCAGCTTTTCATTAGGGTGTCGCTGGGGAGCCCTCGCCCTCCTCCTTGCATGCTAGCAAGGAAGCTTGCCATGATCTAACGAACACTAAACTCAGAACGCAAACTTCCGCAGGTCCGCGCTGATTTCTTGGGTCGGCGCTGGACCTCACCGTTGGCGCCTCCAGCGACGGCCCTGGCGCGCTCCGCGCGCCAGGGAGGGGGGGGGGATCTCGTGCGGACGCCAATCTTGTGTGTGCGTGTGATGACGGTAGACTTTTTCGAGGACTGGGAGGACATCACAGTGCCGCGGAGCTTTGCCTACGCGGCGAACCGCACGTGGTTCACCAGGCAGCAGACCGTGGTCGCCGGCGCTTCCACGCGCATGCCTGCGACCTGGGAGCACGAGCTGACCTTCCTGTCTTGCGTCGCTGGCGCCGACCTGGCTACCGATATTCCGTTCATGCGATGGGACCACAGCACAGTGTTCGACGAAGACCCCGAAGGCTGGAAGAAGGACGAGCCGAAGACCGATTGCAGGCATGCGTGTTTCATGGATGGCCTGGAGCTGTTTGACTCGAAGTTCTTCGGCATTTCCACTGGCGAGGTGAAGAGCATGGACCCGTGCCAGCGACTCTGCCTCGAGACCACCTACGACTCGCTGTATAGGTCGGGCTACAGGAGGGGCGCTCTTGAAATGGCGGCGCCTGCGGCTCACCTCGCCCTCGGTGGAGGCCATCGGAAGGCTGGCGGAGGGCGTCGGAAGTGAACTGGCTGCGGGTTCACAGGCGGAATAACCCGCAGAAGGCCGCGGCAGCAGAAGTGAGACGCCAACATCAACATTGTCGGGTTCCGGGTTTCCAGAATCGGCCAGGATGGAAGAGCACTAGCATTTTTTTGTTTCTTCCCCCGAGCGCCGTGCCACGACAGCCCAGGCACGAAAAACGCCGAAGGCGAGTCGGCCAGCGGCAGGCTAAGCATCCCTGAGGGAGGAGGAGGAGCAGGAGGAGGAGGAGGAGGAGGAGGAGGAGGAGGAGGAGGAGGAGGAGGAGGAGGAGGAGGAGGAGGAGGAGGAGGAGGAGGAGGAGGAGGAATATGCATGAGCATGTAGGTTCGAAGGGCGCGGACTTCTCGAGTCGGCGCTCGGCCCCCCCCCGGGCGGCGCCGCCGGCGCGGCCCCCGGCGCGCTCCGTGCTCCAGGCAGGGGGCGTCCGTGGGGCCCACGCCGATCCTTAAGGGATGGGGTGCTGATCAGGGGGGGAGGGCGAGTAATCTTCCCGACCGGGCTTGCCCAACCCCGCCCCCCTCCTATCCTCCTCCGCCTCCCCCATCCTCCTCGTCTTCCTCCAGCCCTCCCTCCGCCCGTTCCGACAGCACGTGCCCAACCCCCCCGCAGCGGATTCGATGGGGGGGGGGGCGATGAGAGTCCCATCCAGAGTACACTCTAGGCGATACTTAAGAAAACCCAAGTTTTCGGCCAGAGTCTCGATTATTCTTAATGTTTCAATGTAAATCCCAAGATCTGAATAGACATTCTGGGTTTTCATTCAGATTCTGAGACTATGAATTTCTGAACCTATGATTTCTGAAGCATTTCGCAGGGTGTACCCGTCTGGGACGATGGGGCTGTTCGGCTTTACGATCGTGCTGCCGGCCCGCGCCCCGTCTGCGCAGCACACCGCGGCCGCCGGGCCCCGGCAGTCCCGGGGCAATCCTGGGGGACCTCGCGAGCCCTACCGGGGAGGCGTCACGACTTTCGGGGGTGGAAAAGAGGGGGGTGATGACTAGGGGGGGGGTGGATATCATGGCGTGGGCCATGATATTTCCCCAGATGTCATGGCGCCTCTTCTTATTTCATTACGTCCCTGGCCCCTATGACTGATACGCTCCAATGCTCACACACGCACGCACATTAACAACATGCGTACAAACATACACCAGTATCGTTCGTCAAACACCTCCATTTGCAACCGACATCAAGTCCAGCATCAAGAACATACATGCGATCAAGTCTGTAAACCACACCCAACCTCAACACTACACCGAGCACGTACACCGAACGCATGAACGGCACCCGCATGCCAAGACCATACACCAAAAACTGGCATCATGAGTGGACACCAAGAGCACACCATTCACAGGCAGTAGTCGCATGGAGCAGCAGCCCTTTGTTCTGAACAAGCAGCAACATACATCAAGTACACTTCGAACCGAACTCATTCAGGAATTTCACATCAAACGCATTGATCTTTGACAGTCATCAACTTCGTAGTCTGACTACATAACTTTAGCAGTATATCAACGACGGCACGCATCAAGTTGTTATATCAATAATAAGGGACGTCAGCCATATACACGAATATCGCAAATCAGCAGCCATCACCACGATGCATTAAGACTTTAACCCAGAGTACGCAGCAACAGCGTACATGAGAAACGCGCGTCCGTAGCACTCAGCAGGAACTCGCGATATGGACACCACATACGTCCGCACTGTACATTTACAACGCACATCGCAAGACGAGCGTAAACAGATCAAACCACGAATGCATACAGCACCCAAGTAATGAATCTGCACACACGGCACATAAACCAACCGGCGCACCGACACACCATGCATACAAAACATGTGCAACGACCCTTCATCAGCAATTATGCTCCGTATCAGACTGTAGAGACGCATGCGACCGACTCCGAAACCGTGTGTGGCAACGAGCTGGTGGGGATCACCCGAAGCAAAGCCATGCTTGTTCAAATTCCCCTGCTGAGCCGAAAGCCAAGCAGGAGCCTACGCCCAACCCCAGCCACAGGCCGATCCCAAAATATAGACGGAAGGACCCAGGAAGCGTCCGCGAAAGCGACGCGTGGGGACCATCGGATCTCCAGTTTCCGCCACGGCCGTCGCCGGAGCCGCAGCCGCAGCCGCAACGGCCAGATGCAGCCGAACGCCCCTGCAGGAAGAAGGGCATCCTCGGCACCTCCCCAGTGGGGATGGCCCAGAGCAAAGTCACGCTTGTGCCGCTCTTCCTCCTTCTGCAGCAAGTGTCTCGCAGCCAGCATGGTTGGCTCCCTCCTCGCCCGATCCGCCCGTCATCGGCAAGCCCTCGGCTCAGGCTGCCGAAGGCTGGCGATCACCCGCCCGCGTGCCGCCCGTTTGTTGCGAGGGTGGTGCGGCAGGTGCGGCAGTCACACGACGGCCCCCATGGAAAACAGAAAGATATACACATTATGTATGTATTTATGTATGTATGTATGTATGTATGTATGTATGTATGTACGTACGTACGTATGTATGTATGTATGTATGTATGTATGTATGTGTGTGTATGTATGTATGTATGTATGCATGTATGCATGTATGCATGTATGCATGTATGCATGTATGCATGTATGCATGTATGTATGTGTGTATGTATGTATGTATGTATGTATGTATGTATGTATGTATGTATGTAGGTATGCATGTGTGTATTTATGTGTGTATGTATGCATGCATGCATGTATGTCATGCATGTATGTATGTATGTATGTACGTATGTATGTATGTATGTATGTAGGTAGGTAGGTAGGTAGGCAGGCATGCATGCATACATGCATGCATGCATGCATGCATGCATGAATGCATGTATGCATGTATGCATGCATGCATGTATGTATGTATGCATGCATGCATGCATGTATGCATGTATGTATGCATGTATGTACGCATGTATGTATATGTGTATGTGTGTATGAATGCATGCATGCATGCATGTATGTATGCATGTATGTATGCATTTTTTATTGATGTCTGTATGTGCATGTATGTATGCATGTATGCATGCATGCATGTATTTATGTGTATGTATGTATGTATGAGTATGTATGTATGTATGTATGCATGTCTGTATGTATGCAAGTATGTATGTATGTATGCATGCATCCATGGATGTATGGATTTATGTATGTATCCATGTATGTATGTATGTGTGTATGTATGTATGTATACATGCATTTATGTATGTATGCATGTATGTATGTATGTATGTATGTATGTATGAGTGTATGCATGGATGTATGTATGTATGTAGGTATGTGTGTATGTATGTATGCGTGTATTTATGTATGTATGTATGCATGTATGCATGTGTGTATGTATGTATGTATGCATGAGTGTATGTATGCATGTATGTATGTATGTATGTATGTATGTGTGTGTATGTATGTGTGTGTATGTATGCATGTATGCATGTATGTATGTATGTATGTAGGTATGTCGGTAGGTAGGTAGGTAGGTGGGTAGGCATGCATGCATGCATGCATGTATGCATGCATGTATGTATGCAGGGATGTATATGTGTATGTGTGTATGTATGCATGTATGTATGTATGCATGCATGCATGCATGCATGTATGTATGTATGTATGAATGCATGTATGTATGTATGATTGTATGTGTATATGTATGGATGTATGTATGTATGCATGCATGCATGCATGCATGCATGCATGTATGTATGTATGTATGTATGTTTTTTGTTGTTGTTGTTGTTTTTTTTGTGTTTTCATTTTTGTTTGTTTTTTGTTGTTTTTTAAAACATATTAATTTCTGTATGTATGTGTATGTATGTATGCAGGCATGTCTGCATGTATGTATGTATGTATGTATGTATGTATGTATGTATGCATGTATGTATGCATGCATGTATGTATGTATGTATGTATGTATGTATGTGTGTGTATGTATGTATGTATGTGTATATGTATGTATGCATGTATGCATGTATGCATGTATGCATGCATGCATGGATGTATGTATTGTTGTATGTATGCATGTATGTATGTATGTATGTATGTATCTATGTACGTATGTAGAGGGAGATAGGAGAGGGGAGGAGTGAGGCAGGGGGGCAATAGGAAGAAGGACATCCACTGCCGATGCCACAGCCGCAGCCACAGCCGCTACCGCTGGCCGAAGCGCCACGCCCCTGCACATTTCGGTCGCAGATTCGATTCTGGGCTCTCCTGCGCTCTCCCTTCCCCTGCAGGAAGAAGGACATCCACGGCTCCAGCTGCGGCATGTACGTCGGCATCGGGTACACGGACTGGGAGCTGGCGGAGCGCACCATGGACTTCGGCAGCTTCGGCGCCACGGGCAGCTCCCCCGCGGTCTGCGCGGGCCGGCTCAGCTTCTGCCTCGGTTGCCGCGGCGCCTCCGTCGCCATCGACGCCGAGGCCGCACCGGCCCGCGGCCGTGACGACGCCGACGGCCACGACGACGCCGACGTCCACGACCGACGGCCACGGCCACGGCCACGGCCTCGGCGACGACGACGCCGACGGCCACGCCGACGCCGACGCCGTCGCCGTCGTCGTCGTCGTCGTCGTCGTCGCCGTCGTCGTTGTCGCCCGTCGTCGTCGTCGCCGTCGTCGTCGTCGTCGTCGTCGTCGTCGTCGTCGTCGTCGTTGTCGCCCGTCGTCGTCGTCGTCGCCGTCGCCGTCGTCGTCGTCGTCGTCGCCGTCGTCGTCGCCGTCGCCGTCGTCGCCCGTCGCCCGTCGCCCGTCGTCCGCGAGGCCGCGTCTGCCCTGGCCTGCACGTACTGGGCCGCGGAGTCCGTGGAGGCCAAGGGCAACGGCAAGCACCAGGAGCCCGGGCGGATGAGTGAGGGGAGCTCGAGTTCGAGGGTCGAGGTGCCTGCTGTTTTTGTATTTTCGGATCCGCTCCGTTTATGTAAGTTCTTCCTTTCTGCCTTTCTTCTTCTCCTCCTCCAACACGTCATGCACAAATTCTGCTTCGTAACTTCCCAGAGCGCCGGCATCAGAAATGGGGCCAAACTCACAGTCCTACCGCTGCACCGCGGGTTTTCCTACCCTGGGGCGCCCTCGTGGCCACGGGCGGATGGCTCGCTCCCCCAGGGGCCTGGACGCCGATTCTGAGGCGACCCGTCGGCCCTCCGAGGAGATTCAAGGGCTCCCTCGAGGGCGCGAAGTTATTCGCGCTTCGCGCTTCGCGGTCCTCGTTCCTTCTCCCCCTCCTCCTCGTCCTCCTTTTCTCCCTTTGGGGGGGCGGCGCGAGAGCGCGAAGTCATTCGCGCTTCGCGCTTCGCGGAGCGCGAAGCGCGAAGTTGGGAGCCCTTGCCGAGGAGATGTCCTGCGCCCTCGGGACCCACCTGCTGATGGCCAAGCACTGGTGGCCCGCCCTCAGCGCCTCCGGCTTCCTCTGCAGCAAGGGCCGGTGCTTCTCGTTTGACTCCGCGGCCAGCGGCTACATCCAGGGCGAGGGCGTGGGCACTCTCACAGTCAGGGCCAAGAAGATGGACGGCGAGGCTCGAAGAGCAAACACAGACACACACACACACTTACAATTCAGTCGGGCACGTCCCTCTACAGGGGGAATGTTCAAACATAGTCAAGAATAGTCTGGGGACGATTTTGTTACTATTTTTGGTCATTTTATTTTGTTCGGAGTGTTCTCAATTTTTCGTACAAAATCCGCCTGTAGGAGGACACGCCCGACCTAAGCATACCATCAAGACGCTCGAGTAAGGAGCAGCTCGGGTTCAGTATGGGGCTCGCTCGCACAGTTGCCTTTGCAGCGCTGCTCGTGCACCCCCGTGCGCGCTTTGTGGGCCACGACGGGGCTGCGCTCCTTCTGACGCATTCCCTGTGGTACTTCCGGAGGCCGGCGTGGATCTCTCGGGCAGGCGTCAGACCTCCCTGGCGGCACCTCCGGCGCCGCCCCCGGCGCGCCCCGCGCGCCAGGGCAGGGAGGTCCAGTGCTGACCCAAGGACTGGGGTCGGACCTCTGAAACTCTGTGCCTACGCTCGCGACGACGCCGGCGACGAGCCGACGACGGACCGACGACGACGGCGACGACGACGACGAATGGGACGACGACGACGACGACGACGACGACGACGGCGACGGCGACGACGACGAAGACGACGTGCGTACATTTTGCACATCCATGGCTTTCGATGGATACCCTTCTGTTCTTCGTGTATGGGCTCTCCGCCTTGGAATGCTCTTCGCTCGGGGCATCTCGAAGGCCTTCGGCGAAGAGACTCAGGTTTGTGCCCGAACGTCGACCTGGGACCCCCGGAAGCTTAGACCACTCCCCGAGGACCCGCTTCTCATCCCGCAGTCACTTTTGGCCCGGCCCCAGGGCTGGCCAAGGGCCCCCCGTGAGGCCGATTTTTTCTGCCCCAGACGTGTCGTCGTGATCGTTTTCACGACGCGAAGGTGCTGGGGCCAGGGGTCAAAAATCCCCCCCACAACGATAGCGACGACAACGACAACGATCACAGCGATAGCAATGCTAGCAACGATAAAGGTCACAGCGGTAGCGATAACAATCACACCGATGAAGATCACAACGATCACAGCGATAACGATCACAACGATCACAACGGTCACAACAACCACACGATCGCGATGCTTTCGGTGTGTTCTGGCAGGAATCTCGAGGCGGATGGTGGGGACGGTGGTGAGGGGACAGCGGGACAGTTGTGGGGACAGTGGGACAGTGGTGGGGACGGTAGTGGTGGGGACAGTGGTGAGGACAATGGTGGGAACAGTGGGGACAGTGGGACAGTGGTGGGGACAGTGGTGGTGGGGACAGTGGTGTGGGGACAGTGGGAATGTGGTGGAAACAGCGGGACAGTGGAGGGTACAGTGGTGGTGGGGACAGTGGTGAAGGCGGTGGCGAGGACGGCGGTGGGAAATGGGACAGAGGTACAGTGGGGACAGTGGTGGGGACAGTGGGGACAGTGGTGGGAACAGTGGGACAGCTCAGTGGGACAGCGGAGGAGTCAGTGGGACAGTGGGGACAGTGGGGATAGTCGGGCAGTGGTTGGGGCCGTGGAGAAAGTGGGGAGAATGGAACCGTGGTGGGAACAGAGGTGGGGACTGGGGGCAGTGCGACAGTGGTGGGGGCACTGGTGGAGACAGTAGCCTACTGTCTCCATCAGTGGGGACAGTGGGGACAGTGGTGGTGAGGACAGTGGTAGGGACCCGGAGTCGTTTGCTGGCGGTGAGGGGGGGGGAGGGGTTCAAACCGGTACCCCCATCCGGTTTTCGAGGGAGGGGGGGGGTTCGAACCGGTAGTGACCCCCCCCGGTTTTCGAGGGGAGGGGGGGGGGGTTAGGGCAGGGGGGGGGTTCTGCGGGGGGAGGGGAGGGGGGTGGAGGGGGTTCCAGCAGGGGGGGGGGATTTTCGGAGGGGGGGGGGACCTCCGGGTTCCGCAGGAAGAGGGGGGGAATTTTCCACAGCCGGCGGTGGATCACGCTCTCTCCTCTCACGCAACCACCCCCTGAGGCAGGGAAGCCCAGAATCGAATCGAAAAATCGGATCGGCGAGCGACATGAATCGGATCGGCGGGAATCGGCAGCCGAGTCGGGAAAAGTCGAATCGGCGGAATTCGACAGGCTTGTAGGCCTCCAGTGAGAAATCGGAGCCCAGGTCGGAATCCGAAGTCGAACCGAATCGAAATTGGAACCCATCGAAATCGCGAATCGCATCGAATCGGAGGAATCGAAACGAGCCCTGCCCGAGGCCGAGAAGGACTTCGAGCACGTCTCGATCGGCACGCGATCACGCAACCCCAGACATCCGCCGATAGGATGTTTTCAACCCGCGGCCCCAAAGGTCCCGACCCTTTCCCCTCTGATATCGGTCGGCGCTCTTGCGCCAGATACAGTTATACAAATATACATGCATTCGCTTAACGGCTGATCAGGAAGCGTCGTACACCCACAAGTAGCGTTGCACTCGCTCACGAGAAAACACCCCCTGCAGGGGGTGTTTTCTCGTCCCTGGTCCATTCTTGAGGGCCCCCGGACCCGACGACGGGCCCCGGGGGCCGAAACCCCGGCAAAACCGGCGGACTGAAAATCGGGCGCCGCGTAATGGGGGGGTCACAAATGGGGGGGTGGCGAGCGTGGTCCGAAAAGGTACCCAAACGGTACCTCAACGAGCCCCCTGGGGCTCTGGAGGGGCCCGCAAGGGGCACGAAAGGGGACCTTCTCTGACCCCCCCATTTGTGACCCCCCCCATGAAGCCACGCCCAAGAAAGAATCACCTCCTTAGATCTTGGGACCGCCCCTTGAGGCCGAGAAGGACTTCGACCACATTTCGATCGGCACCATCTCCGGGGGCGCCATCGGTAACAGCGGGCAGAGCGCTGGGCTCTACGCGCCCCACGGGCCAGGGGAGCAGCAGGTGCCGTTGGGCGGGTCGAGTGGTGCGAGCCCTGCCCTCGTTCGAGGGGGAGGAGGAGGGGGAGGAGGAGGAGGAGGGGGAGGAGGAGGAGGAGGGGGAAGGAGGAGGAGGAGGAGGAGGAGGAGGAGGAGGAGGAGGAGGAGGAGGAGGAGGAGGAGGAAGAGGGGGAGGAGCAGGAGGAGGAGGAGGAGGAGGAGGAGGAGGAGGAGGAGGAGGAATAATAATGATAGTAATAATACTAAGAGTATTACTAATAAGAAGAAACATACTGACCATAATCATAAGAATGCGAATAATAATAATAACACTAATAGTACTCATACTAATACTAATACTAATGATATAAACGAAGGGCTAAGCATAGTACTACTACGAAAACGAAGACTAATCATATTTATACTAACTATAACGATCTACATCATAATGTTAATACTAACAATAGTAATAGCAGACCTAACCATAAACATATCAATACTACTTTTTAATGCTATTTAAATTACTGCTACTAGCATTAATACTAATACTAATATCACTATTAATGTTAATACTAGTAATCATAATAATACTAATGCTAATGCTAATCATACTGCCACTAATAATAATCATAATAACATTTATATTCGTAATACATTTACGAATAATAATACCAATAATAACAACACTAATAATTCTCATACTACTACTACTACTACTATTACTACTACTACTACTACTACTACTACTACTACTACTACTACTACTACTACTACTAATATTCATACTAATACTACTAACACTGCTAACACTACTATTACTACTACTACTACCACTACTACTAATAGTAGTAGTAGTAGTAGTAGTAGTAGTAGTAGTAGTAGTAGTCGTAGTCGTAGTCGTAGTCGTAGTCGTAGTCGTAGTAGTAGTAGTAGTAGTAGTAGTAGTAGTAGTAGTAGTAGTAGTAGTAGTAGTAGTAGTCGTGGTAGTGGTAGTGGTAGTGGTAGTAGCAGTAATAGTTGTATTAGTAATAGTAATAATAGTAATACCAATAATAGTAATAATAATACTACTATTACTAATGCCACACATAATACTAATACTCCTATTAATATTTATACTGATCATACTAATCGAAGACGAAGAAGAAGCAGGAGAAGACGAGGAGGAGGAGGATGATGATGATGAGGAGGAGGAGGAGGAGGAGGGGAGGGAGGAGGGAGAGGTGGCGGAGGGGAGGAGGAGGATGGAGGAGGAGGAGGAGGGAGGAGGGAGGAGGAGGAGGGGAGGAGGAGGAGATGGGGAGGGGGAGGAGGATGGATGATGATGAGGAGAGGAGGAGGAGGAGGAGAGAGGAGGAGGAGGAGGAGGAGGAGGAGGGAGGAGGGGGAAGAGGTGAGGGGGAGGGAGAGGGGGAGGAGTGGAGGAGGGGGGAGGTAGAGGGGGAGGAGGAGGGGGAGGACGAGGAGGAGGAGGAGGAGGAGGAGGAGGAGGAGGAGGAGGAGGAGGAGGAGGAGGAGGAGGAGGGGGGCGAAGCGTCCTGGCGTGCCTGCAGGCCCACCGAAGAATGTTCAGAGCACCTTTGGTGGTCTGCACGACCTGTTCTCAGAACATTTCTGGCTGAGACTGTCTTGTTTCAACGCATCGGGTTTATGTTTGGTGAGCAGCTTGCCATGAGGGAAAGGGATCCTGAGGGAAACAGGGGTCTCGGGGCCCTCCACGGGCCCCGGGAGTGTCAGAAAATGACTGATGATGAAGATGTCGTCCTGGGGGATGGCCCCAGGGTCCAGGACCCGTTCTTTCCATCTCCCCTCCTCCTCGGGGCGGGCGGAAGCCCAATTTACCCACTTCTTCCCGTGGGTGGTTGCCTGCAAGCTTCTCACCAAAGGCAGACTAAGGTTCGGAATTCGTCGAACACGTCGGAATCCGAACCCATACCCCCGCCTTCCATCGATTCATGATAATCAATGTTCGGTGGGTTCGGTAGCACATCATGATGGTTGCCCTCGCAATTTCGCCTTTGTAGTTTGGAGTGCACTCGCGTCGATGAGTGTCGATGAGCGTCCATTCAGCGTCGATCGGCGTGGGTTATCGTCGATCCGCCAGAGCCGACGACATGGTATGAGAGGCTCCCACGAGTTGCCACCGACAACCGATTCAGGATAATCAACGGTTGGTGGGGGTGTGGTTCGGATGTCGCCACCCGAGGTGCTGACCGACTCCTGCCGCAGGCCCCGGGGGCAGTGCCCAAAGGTTGGCCGCCACCATCAGCCCGCTGGTTTCGTACTCCTGCTGGCGTACCCTCGGCATCACCCGAACACACTTGCACGATGCGTGCGTGGCCCCCCCCCCAGCGCGCGCCAAGAAATATTCACTGACCATTGGCCATCCCGCCACCGTGCCCGGGTTGTGGGCCCCAGGCCTGCAGGATTTTCGTTGGGATGTCGCGGGAGGCCTCTCGGGGGCCTCCTGGGGGCCGCTTTGAGGCCTCTTGGGGGCCATTTTTTGACTTCTCGGGGCGACTTCGGGGCCTCTTGGAGGTCTCTCGGGGCCTCTTGGGGGCCTCATGGGGGCTCCTTGGGCCTCCTCCTGGGGGCCTCATGGGGCGGAAGACTCGGATTTTCGGTTCGTGTTCCCCCTCTTGGGCCCTTCTTGGGGCTGTCTTTGGCCCTCTTGGGTCTTCTTGGGCACCTCTGGGGCCGTCTTGGGGCCCTCTTGGGCCGTGTTGGGCCTCCTGGGGGCCTCTTGGGTCGTCTTGGAGCGTCGGGAGCTCGAAAGTCGAGGACCCCACAATTATTCTAAAACTCATGAAAATAAGTGATTTTGGCTTCTGGGGGCCCTCTTAGGGAGGCTCTTGGGTCTCTGTTGAGGCGTGTTGGAGGCCCCTTGAGCCATCTGGGGACCATCTTAGGCGTCTGGAAGCGATCTTTCGGCGCCCTCTTGGACCGTCGGCGCGACCTCTTGAGCCCCTCTTGGGCCGATTTGGAGCCATCCGGGGCCCGGAAAAGTCATGCGGGAAGACGCCCCAGGCACGCGGAAAGCTCCGGGAGATTTGGCGATTCGGGGTCCGGGCTTCCAAAAGACTCCTCAGGGTTGAAGACTGAGGCTCAGGGGATTAGGCAATGGACCTGAGGACCCCCCCTCAGTGCCCAGAGGCACGGTGGCGGATGAAAGCACATACTCGGTGGCGGGCGCTTTATGGCCGTACCGCTCGGGAAGCGATGTGCCACAATATTTTTTGTGCTTTATGTTCTGGTTGGACGCACGCCGCCGAGGAGGGCGCACAGTATTCGTATGTGCCCAGGCCTCTTCGCGTCGTGAAGACATCACGACGGACGGCTTCTGACAGCTCTCCGGCCTTCGGGGGCTCCCACGAGGCCCCGGGCTCGGCAGCAGAACTGCTCAGGGATTAGAAGCCGGTCTTCCCATGGAAGCGGGCTAAATCTCTGGGGGCCCACGTTGTGGCGGCTTTGGGGGAGGGCCCTGAGGCTCGGCAGCCACGAGCAACCCTACGCTGGGGGTCGCATGCCAAGCAACGCCAAGCAACCCCGAGCAGCACCGAGCAACTCCGAGGAACGCCTGGGCGTCTTTCTTTCCAGGCGCCTACTGGGGGTCCACGGGGTGCTCTGGGGGCGCCAGGGGGTCTTTGGCAGGAAGAGGACCTTCTCCATCGATCCTCCCTCGTCGTCATCGTCGTCCTCCTCCTTCTCCTCCTCCTGCTCCATCCTCCGTCCTCCTCGATCCTCCTCGGCTCGATCCTCCTCGACTTTCGATCCTCCCTCCTCCTGGACCCTCGATTCCTTGGAGGAGATGGCGACCCCCTTTGGTGGCGGCCCCACCCCTTGGCACAGCCCTGGGCAGGTCCGGCATCACGCCCCAGGACGCGGGCGCGGTGGCAATGCGCGCCCGCCGGCGCTGAAGGCGGCACAAACAACCTCGCCACGGAGCAAACCTCGTTCTCCTCCTCCACCTCCTCCTCCACCTCCTCCTCCTCATCTCTCAGCCTCATCCTCCTCCGCCTCATCCTCCTCACTCCCCTCCCCCTCCCCCCCCCCCTCCTCCTGCCTCATTCTCCTCCTCCCTCCTCCTCCTCCTCCTCTTCCCCCTCTCCTCCTCCTCTCTCCTCCTCCTCATCCTCTCCTCCTCTCCTACTCCCCCCTCCTCCCTCCTCCTCCTCCCTCCTACTCCTTCCTCCTCCTCCTAACCCTCCTACTCCCTCCTCCTCCTCCTCCTCTCCTCCTCCTCCTCCTCCTCCTCCTCCTCCTCCTCCTCCTCCTCCCCCTCCGTAGCCATTTTGGCTCAAGAGCCGGGTGGGGCTGGCGTCACCCGGTCCCTACTGGTGAGTTGAGTTTCTTGCTGGCCAGAGGTTCGCGACCTCATCAGTTCCAACGCGTCCAGGCACAAGCGTTCTGCAGCCCGATGTCGGATCAGACCCCGCAGCTCACCCGACGCGGAGACCGCGGCTTCAACGACCGCGGCAGCCCGCGGAGTCGCTCGGAGGAGCGGCTGGACCGTGGCGGGAGTGATGGCCGTGAGCATGCTGGCCGTCCGCTTGCTTGCAGCGGGCGTGGTGGTGGTGGTGGTGGTGGCGGCCGCGGCCAAGATCCCTGGACGGGAGCCTCGCTGCAGTCCATCTTCGAGCAGCACGGTGACAGCCTGGTCGCCCAGGTCACGGCCGCAGCCAAGGCTAACCTGTCCACCTTCCTCGACCAGAAGCTCCCCGCGACGGTGGCCGGCGTCTTGCAAACGATGTTTGACAAGATTCGACGAGCACATCCAGCAGCGCCTATCTGAGCAGCATGCGAGGTCGGGTGCATTGGAGGCTGTTCATCGGGATCATCAGCGGGCCAACAAGGCCCTGGCAGACCGCATGCGGGTGCTGGAGCGGGAGTTGGACCTCGCACGGAGATTACCGCGCCCGTCTATCACGCAAGCTGCGGATTGGTCACGGCCTGTGGACACGACGCTCATGCTCGCCAGGGCCAGGGCCATTGCCGTCGCCCCTCAAGGACTGGCTGGACGCCGCCAACCTCAAGCTGGGCGAGGACATCATCATGGAGGGCGAGGCGCTGGGTCGCATCTCCAAGCTCACGTTCAGGGCGCGGTGCACGCCGCGGAAAAGAAGGTTGTGCAAGCGCTGGGCCCCTCTGGCTGCCAGGGGGGGGGGCTGGCGTAACTTCACCGTCGGTGTGGTGGGCGGCCGCACGACATCTCTCTACGTGGGTGTCGAAAAGAATCGGTAGGACATCGCTCGTGAAATGGCTGTCAAGCGTGTCAATAGGATCCCTGAGACGTGCTTCAACAGCCGTGTCTTTCTGGACAAGGAGGCGGGCGTGCTCTGCATGGGGTGGGAGCGGCTGGCAAAGGTCACCGTGCATCTGGTGGACCCGCCGCGCGTCATCTGGAACCTGGGGTTGTTGCCAGACAAGGGGATGTCCCGAGCCGGGATGGACATGCTCGCGGAGCAAGCGTTGGGCGTACGGGACATCGAGTGGCCTGGGTACTACGCTCCTGGAGGCCACGTCGCTATGAGTGGCCTCCTGGAGCGCCAGGGCACTGGCGCTCTACCAGGTGGCGAAACTTCGCACTAAGGTCAGCTTTTTTTCTGCACTCCGCTGGGGCCCTTCATCTTGGAGGTGCAGGAAACGTACTCCAGATTTCGTAATAAAAGGGAGGGGGTCTGGACCCTCCAAGACAAGCCATTTCAGACCTCCCCCGTGGGAGAACCCTCCAAAACATCGTCCCCAGACCCCCCCAGGCCCTCCAAGATAGCCTGGAAGAGACCCCCCCCGAAATGAGACCCCCCTCCCTTTATTACGAAATCCGGAGTATGCAGATTTCTCTGCGCTCTTGGCGAGCTCTCTTCAGCGACTGGGTGACGCGCCCCGCGTCGTTGTGGCCCCGCCCCCCCGGCACTGTGGCAGGGCGGGCTGCTCGCGGCCGTGCCCAGATCGGAGGGGCTCGCGATCTCATGTTGCACGCGCGTCGTTTTGGGAGCGCCCTCCAGGCGACGATCGAGAGCCAGCCTGGGTAGTCGAAGGCCAGACTGTCAGATTGGATTGGGCCCCACGGGCCAATCTGGCCCGGCCAAACTGGATGATTTGGGTTATTCGCCAGACTGGATTCGCGTTGGCTCCCTCGCCAGATTGCCCCCGTTTGCCAGATTGGGCCTGCCAGATTGGCGCCAGATTGGCTTCGACTACCCAGAACCAGCGCGCTGAATTCCAGATGGAGCACCTGGAATGTCATAGCGTGGACATCCCGGTGGCCCACTTCTGGGGCCTTCTTGAACATCACTCTGGCGCAGATTCGAGCTGCGCAAGCGGCTCCCATGATGAAGTCGGGCCTGTCTCTCTGCAGGGAAAAACATCAAAAATAGTCAAATAATACTCTGGGAACGATTTGTTTGGATTATGTTTTTTTTTTTTTTTTTTTTTTTTTTTTTTTTTTATCTTCGTCTTAGATCCCCCTGTAGGGGGACAGGCCCGACCTAGTCCCATGAACATGCTGGTGGTGCTCGCCGGCGGCTCCAACATCAGCGGCGGGATCGGGCAAGAGGCGCCCGTCGCGGCCGCGCCAGAGCCGGCGGCGTCTCCAGCGCGCACGCCGCCCATGGCGATGCGGGCCGGCGTCAGCTCTGTGGGGCACCTCGTGGAGGTGGCGTGCGAGGGAGCGGCCAGTGTCCTGGCACGCGCCTCGTCGTCGGGTACTTCCACGGCCACCGCCTGGTGGCCCGCAGAGGTCGAGCCAGGGGTCACCGAGCGCGTTCCACTACTCGCAAAGTGCCTACTCGCAAACGTCCGAAAGCCACGCGTCTGCTTTGATGTAATTTATCGTAGATCCTCCGCGGGGGATCCAGGCCACCTGCGAGTAGTCAGTTTGCGAGTAGTGGAACACGCTCGTCTAAGGGGGGTGCGCCCATCGGAGATCACGACCCTCGCCGATGGCGTGAGGATTGCAATGGAATTGCCCGCGCGGGGACCCAGCGAGTTCCTGCGGGTTCAGCGCTGAGGCTTCCCGGGGCGATCTTGGACGAACCCCCCTTTGGGCACCCTCGACCTCCTCCTCTTCCTCCTCGTCCTCGTCGTCCTCCTCCTCCTCCTCGTCCTCGTCGTCGTCCTCCTCCTCCTCCTCCTCCTCCTCCTCCTCCTCCTCCTCTTGGGTCCTTGGGGGAATGGGTCCTGACGTTCTTCATCGGTTTCGATTCCCAGGGCCCTCGCCGGGTCCAGGGACCGTCACAAACAATTGCCCGAGGCGTGCCCAGCTCCTTCGAGGCACGAGGCGCTGACACCCAGGACCGCTGATTGCAGAAGAGCGCGCAGAAGGGTCTGCAGCATCCTTGAACGATTCGCCGAGTTGGTCTCGACTGGATCCGCGTGTCTCCCAACTCCGCTGGGCCTCTCGGAAGCCCGTGAGAAAGTGGCGACAGTTGCGTAGCTGGCAGCCGCGAGCCGCGATGTCTCGACTAGATCCGCGTGCCCCCCCCATTCCCCTGGGCTTCCCAGGAGCCGACGAAAGTGATGACAGCTGCGCAGTTGGCAGCCCCCCCAGGGGCCGCGAGGTCTCGATTGGATGTGCGTGCCCCCCCCCCCCTCCGCTGCGCCTCTCAGAAGCCAGCGAAAGTGGTGACGATTGCAGTGTTGGCATCCTCCCATGGAGCCGCGAGGTTTTGCTGGGTGTGCGTGTACGCCCTATTCCGCTGGGCCCGCCAGGAGCTCACGAGAGTGGCGACGATTGCACAGTTGGCAGCCCTCCAGGGAGCTGCGAGGTCTCCGACTCCGCTGCGCTTCCCAGGAGACCACGGAAGCGGCGACCGCTGCGCAGCTCGCAGTGCACGTGGAGCCGCGAGGTCTCCTCCTCCTCCTCCTCCTCCTCCTCCTCCTCCTCCTCCTCCTCCTCCTCGATCTGCACGTCAACACCACCCCGCTGGGCCCCCCCAAGGACCCACGAAGGTGGCGACGGATCAGTTGGCAGCCCTCCCTGGAGCCGCTAGGTCTCGACTGGATTCCTGTGCCCCCCCCTTCCGCGGCGCCCCAGGAGCCTACGAGAGTGGCGGAAGTTGCGCTGTTGGCAGCCCTCAGGGACCGCGAGGTCTCGACTGGGTGCGCGTGTCCCACCTGCGCCGCCGAGCTTCCCGGGAGCTCACCACATGGGTGACAGATGCGCAGCTGGCAGCCCCCCAGAGAGCCGCGAGGTCTGGCCTGGGTGAGCGTGCCCCCCCCCCACTCCGCGGGGCCTCTCGGGAGCCCGCGCAGGCGGCGACAGTGGCGCAGTTGCCAGCCCCCAGGGACGGCGAGGTGGGAGCAGGTCATTGGGAGGTAGGAGACCCGAGGAGGAAACACTAGGGAGGCGGCAGGACGAGAAGACGCGCGAGCAGTGCCCTATGCAAAACTAGAACCCAACGCAGGAGGTTTGGGAGCCGCTCAGGATGAAACACCGCCTCAGGAGCAGTCCTGGGATCCAGGACCCGTTTTCCTCAGGAACCACTTCCACCATGGCAGTACACTTTCAGAGGTCCGCGGGGTTTCTTGGATCGGCCCTGGATCCCTCGCCGGTCCAAGACATCCTCGCGGGTGATCGCACTTTTATGCGGATGATTTCGAGTTCGATCCGATGCGACTCTGGATCTCGACTCCGGTTTTGGGTTTCCTCGTGTGGACCTCGGTTCGAGCCAGCGGGCGTCGATTTCGATGCTTTCCGATCCGCCTGCCGATTTCAGCCAACCCACAAATGGGTCGGCGGTTTCGATGTATCGAAGACGCCGACGGCTACGGCGGATCGCCGCCGCCCCCTGCCTTTTGGGAAGCGTCTCTGTGGCTGAGCGTTGGGCCCCAGCTCGGTCAAGCTATCCGACTATGTGTTCCCCCAGCCGCTCTGGAAATTCTTGGGGGAACACTTCGGGGAGGATGAGAGGGAGGATCAGAAGAGGGAGGAGGAGGAAGACGAGGAGTAGGAGGAGAACGAAAACTATTGGGAGTCTCTTGGGGCACTCTTGGAGCTTTCTGGGAGCTTCCTGAGGGCCTCTTGGAGGCCTCTTGGGGGTCTCCTTGGGCCTCTTGGGGCCTCTGGGGGCTTCTTGGGGACATCTTTGGCCGTCATAGGGCGTTCCTGGTCCGTCTGACGGCGTCGGAAGCAATCTTGGGGGCCTCTCTGAACCATCTTGGGGCCCCTGTTGAGGCAGTTTAGGGCCGTCTTAGAGATCACTTTGGGCGTCTTGGAGGCCTCTTGGGCCGTCTTGGGGCCCTCATGGGGCCGTCTGGGGGTGGGAGGCCTCTCGGGGACCTCTTGGAGGCAGTTTGGAGGCCTCTTGAGGGCAGTGGTTTTTTTTTTGGCCTCTTGGGGCCTCTTGGGGCCTCTTGGGGGCCTCCTTGGGGTCTTTTGGAGCCTCCTGGGGGTCTCTTGGGGCCTCCTGGGCGCCTCTTGGGACCTCCTGGGACCTCCTTGGGCGGAAGACTCGGATTTTCGGTTCGTGTTCCCTCTCTTGGGCTTCTTTTTTGGGCCGTCTTGGGGCTTTCTTGTGCCGTTTTGGGCGCCACTTGGGCCGTCTCGGGGCGCTCTCAGGTCGTCTTGGGGCCCTCTTGGGTCGTTTAGGGGTGGTCTTGGGGGCCTCTTGGGCCTTCTTGGAGCGCCTGAAAGCTGAAAAGGCGAGAAGGCCCAAGTCCTTCAAAAGCCTTGTGGAGATTGATGACTTTCGCCTCTCTGGGCCCTCTTGCGAGACCTCTTGGAGGCCTCTTGGGCCATCTTGAGGCCAGGTTGGGCGTCTTGGAGCGAGCTTTCGGCGACTCGGGGCCTTCTAGGACCGTCTTGGGGGCGACGCGGGGCCCTCTTGCCCCCCCTTGGCTCCAGAAAAAGTCAAGCGACACCAAGCCCCAAGAGACTTCGGAATTTTAGGCTCGGGCCCTTGAAAGACTCCTCAGGACCGATGTCTGGGGCCGAGAGGATTAGGCAGGCGACCTGAGGACATGCCCACTCCGTGCCGAGAGGCACGGTGGCGGATTCTGGCGGCCGATTCCGATTTCCGATTCGATTTTCTGGATTGTCCGGCGCTCCCAGGACGTGGACGCGGTGGAGTGCGCGTCCACCGGCATGCTGCTGCGAGACGCGGTGGAGGTCGCCAGCTGTGCCAAGGCCCTCCGAGGCTGCGGGGCGGACGAGGGCATGCCCTGGTCCGGGTCGGAGCCGGAGATGCTGCAGCTCGGGTCCGCGAAGACCAACACGGGCAGTCGCAGTCGAGCAGAATGGCATAGGCACCCTCGCGGAGGTCCGCGCGGAATTCTCGGATCGGAGCTGGGCCCCTCTGGCGCCGCCTCTGGCGCCGCCCCCGGCGCGCCTCGCGCGTCAGCCGGGGGAGGGGGGTCCAGCGCCGAGCCAAGAAACTTGCGCGGACCTGCGACAGCTTATGTTTATGGAGGTTTTCCTTCCTCCAGGCAACCTCATCGAGACCTCTGGGCTGGTGGGGCTCATCAAGGTGTTCCACGCCATCAGGTGGAATCTGTGGCCCCCCAGCCAGCACCTGCGGCGGCTCAACCCTCACATGGATGTGTCAGAGGCGCCGATTATCATGGGCGGCGAGTGCACCGACCCGCGCTCGCGGGCCCTCTTCATGGGCCACAGCGCCTTCGGGTTCGGCGGCACCAACGTGCATCTCCACGCGTTCGGTGGTGTCGACGAGGAGGTGCGGAGGCCACCAGGGCCGGTCCCAGAGTCGCGCAAGCCCAGGCTCACGTTCTGGCCTGCGGGCGGCGGCGAGTCGGCTCGCCCGCGGAAGGGCTACTTCATCATTGGGACTTGGGGCGGACCAGATGCCGAGCCGGTGCAGATGGAGCAGGAGGGCGTTGGCGTCTACGGCTACACCATGGCCCTCGGCGAGAACCGGTGGGAGCAGTTCCAGCTCATGCTGGACGCGGACGAGGGCAAGGCCCGAGAGGCAAAAAACACTCTTTGATCTGCGGGGCGAGAGCGAACCTCTTCTGGAGAAGCAGTAAACACGCGTGAGCATTTTGCCGCAGGCCCGCGCGGATGTCTTGGGCCGGCGCCCCGGCAGCGCCTTTTGGCGCCGCCCCCCTGAGGCGCCCCCCGCGCCGGCCGTCGGAGGTCGGGCGCTGATCCGAGAAGACCGCACGGGCGTCCGAACTTTTATTGCGAAGGCCTTACGGCCAGTGCCGCCGACCCTGAATGGCGACGACGACGACGACGACGACGACGACGAGGATTCTTACTCTCTTTCTCTCTTTCTCTCTTACTCTCTTTCTCAGGCTCTGCCTAGAGGGTTCTTACTCTCTTTCTTGAAGGGGCCGGGCAGTGGAAACTGTGACGATGAGGAGAAGGAGGAGGACGGCGTTTACCGTTACTACTAATATCGCTCTCCTCGGGGCTCCAACTAGGTAGGGTCGATCTGGGATAATTTCTACGCCGTGCAGCCACGTCGCTGAGATCAGGGCCGTGGACCTTGTTCGTGACCGAGGCCCGCCGTGGCCAGAAGAGCCCCTTCATGTCGTGTTGAGCGTTCCTGAGGGTGGCACGAGGAGGGTACTCACCAGATCTGCTCCCCAGGTCTCCGACGTCGTGAGTTTGTTCACAGCGTGGATCTCCGCAGGTTTGGACCACTTTCCCAGGACTGGCTTCTCATCCTGGGTCGTGTCTTTGCCGGTCCTGGGCCCAGTGTGGGGTTCCAGAGGGGGAGAATTTCCAAAAACCGCAGCGTGTTTTTTTTGCACGACGCGAGGTGGTCTGGGTATTCTGAATTCAGGACCCCCCCCCCACCCCCCATAAGTAGTATTTGCTGAACGGCCCTGGGCGTTCACTGAACAGTTTTTTCTTGTTCGCTTCCTTTCCAGGGTGCGTTTACTGAGCGGCTTCGCCTGTTGGGATGCGAATTCTGAGGGCAGTTGTTCTGCTCTCTGCTGAAGGTGCTGCACCCTCGCCACTGCGAGGCCTGGAAGGGCTGCGAGGTGCTCGGGCCGGACCCACAGGAGGTGGCGGAGGGCCTTGCCTGGCTGATCGACGGGCGCTCCGCGCTGCCAGAGCCCCCGCCCGGCGAGGAGGAGCTGGTCCTCGCGGAGGCTTGCGTCGGCGGCGACAGGGGAGTGCGGTAGCAGATCATGGGAGCCTTGTGTTCCCTCGTTCCTCCGTTTTTAGATAGTGCACTGGCGTCGATCAGTGTCTGGTAATCGATGAGGCAGCGCCGATCTGGCGTCCATTGGCGCCGATCTAGCGTCGATCAGCGCCGATTTCAGCGCCGATTCGCAAGAGCCCACAAGACGGTATGGGATACTCCCATGAGTTGCCGCCGAACTGGGGGACCGTCTCCGAGGGTTGAGGCTCGAGCTTCGAGCCTCGAGGTCCGCTTTCTGCCCGTTTGACCTTTTCTCGTGGCCTCGGCTGGGTCCGCCTCGACTCTCTGGCCAGAGCGCAGCCCAGGGGAAGTCCGGGGGCCGAGCTTTGCCTGATCAGGGGCGCCGCCAGGGGGGTAACTGGCGCAGGGGGTAGGCAGCCCCCCTTCGGGAGAGGACCTGGCCATCCTTTTTGGGGCCGCCTCCTCTGGGCTGCTTCTCGTCGATGCGGCTGGATCCGCCCCGAAAGCGGATGTGGATCCCCCCTTCAGAAGAGGACCAGCCACCCTTTCCGGGGCCTCCTCCTGGCTGCTCCCCTTCGATGTGGCTGGATCCGCCTCGAAAGCGGCTGTGGATAGGGCCCAGGGATCGATTCTGTCGGGATGTGGGCTGAGCGGGACGACGACGTCTCGTGCAAACGCTTCAGATTTGATTTGTCTCTGGCCCGATCCTCACCACCCACCAAACCACCCCAACCCAACCCAAAGGCCTCAATTTGCCCTCCATTTCCAGAGGGGGGGGGTCGGGGAACATCGAGAAAACACATATCGAACCCGTGCCCCCCTCTCCCCGAAATTCGGGTCTTCGGGTTGGGTTGGGGTGGTCTGGTAGGTAGTAAGATCCCACATCGAGGGGCCTGCGCGCCACTGGCGCGCCAGCCCCCCCTTGCAGGGACGCCGGTTTCCCGGCGGCGGCTGTTTCGATCGTTCGTTCGCTCGTTCGCTGGGCCAGGCGGGAGAGCTGTCGCTGTCTCCATGGGCCGTCCGAGACGGGCGAGAAGGAGGAGGAGGAGGAGGAGGAGGAGGAAAGGGAGGAGGAGGAAAGGGATGATGGCCCAGCCGCTCAGCAGCACAAGGCAAATGCCGATGCCAAGCAGAAGCCGATCGGCCCGCAGATCACGCAGCTCCAACAGTCCCTTGACATCATGAAGGGCTTCGGGGCCAAGGCCGAGTCGAGTGCTGCCTCGCAGGATGTACTGGCGGCACAGGATGCAGTTGAAGCTTTGATGGAGCGTATGAGGATGGAGAGGGACTCCGAGAAAACGGAGAGCCAGCTCCTCCAGGCGCACAATTCTCGTCTGATAAGAGCTCAAAAGCAGCTGGAGACTCAGACTCAATACGTTGGGAAGCAGGAACAGGCGTTGGCTGATTTGGACGTGCAGAGGGCCCTCATCGCAGCAGATATCCAGAGCGCGAAGGAGGCCCAGTCGGAGCTCGAGGAGAAGGTGATTCATCTTCAACGTACGGCTCCAGCGCGTCCAGCTGTCGACCCATATATGTCGCCGCCAGGCCTTATGACGCCTTTCATCACGCCTACGATGGGAGGCTAGGGGGCCATGATGGCGGCAGTGAGTGGCATGCAGTCCGCACATGATCTGTCAGGATATTTGAACGGCCTCAACTACCTGTCGCTCAACCTCGACCCGTCGCTGCGCCAGGCGCTGAACGAGCACATGGCGGTCTTCGCAGGCGCCGTGCGAGCTGAGGCGGGCATTCCAGCTCCTCCGCCGCCGCCGCATGAGGAAGCGGCCGAGGAGGCGCAGGCGGCTACCGCTGCCAGAGGAGGCTGTGAGGAGCAGGAGAAGGCGCTGTCAAAGTTGCATTAGCAGAACGGCGAGGACGCTGAGATGGAACAGGCAGCCCTGGCGGGCCGCAGATCAGCAGAGGCGGCGGAGCTCGCCAATGCACCCCCAGCGCGCCGTGCGCGCCAGGAGGGCCAGGAGGAGGCTGCGGCCACGGGCCTGGCCCCGTCTGGCGGGTAACACTCAGTGTGAGTATGAGAAGGGCGGCCAGCTCTTGGTCCAGCCGGTGAATGCCAACTCCTGGACCAGCGCGGCCGCCTTCGTGATGGGCACCTCTGCCCATATAGTACTCGTTCAAGAACATAAACTACATGGTCAGCCCCTGCTAGAAGCCAAGGAGCGTCTACGAAAGCAAGGTGGACAAGTTTTTGGGCTCCCTGTGAAGTCACCCAACGAGGTGGGGAAAGCGCTGGAGTTTGTATTTTGGCCAGGGCTCATCTGGATGTGTGGCAGCCCCCTTCAGAGCCTGCGGCCCTGGTTGAGGCCCGAATCCTCCATTGCTACTTCAGAAGCAAGTCCTTGGGAGTGGTCTCGATTTATTGTAACTATTGGAAAGATGGGATCGGTCTGGGGGAACAGAATCTTCGACTAGCGGTTGCCTTGGGTAATGATATCACCAAGCGTAATTTACCTTACATCTCTGGCGGGGACCACAACTTAGAGCCTCATCTGTTCAGAGAAGGGTTTTCGCCGCATAGGTTGAACGGGCAGCTTGTCATTCCGAATCCCAGTCAGACATGTTTGTCCAGCGCGCCAGGTAGATGCTACGACTACTTTTTGATCAGCAAGAACTTGCTTGCTGGTGTCGAGTCGGCGAAGGCCGATATGCAGTCAGATTTATTCCCGCACCGACCTGTCACTCTGAGGTTTAAGCAGGGGGTGGACACCATCATGATCCAGAGGCTCTTGAAGTATCAGAAGCTCCCCGTGGATTTACCCATAGGTCCAGCTCCTCAGGCCCCGAGTTATGACAGCATCCTGGAGACTCCTGAGGACCTCATCTTGCCGTTCGAGAAGGATGGGGGTTTCAGGCTTCCTAGGGATGATGAGCGGGATAGGCTCCAACAAGGATTGGATGGGCAGTATGAGAGGTGGTGTGAGCAGTCTTGGGGAGAACTTCGGAACACGCTTCAGAGTTTTCCAGGAGGTCGGGCTGGAAGACTCCCCTATCAGACAGTAGAGGTTCCCATGGTCGAGCTCCTCTGCACCAAGCGCTCCCCGTCGAGAAGCCCGTATCGTGCTTTGAAGTGGTTGTCGCAGCGTTGTGCAGAGTTTTTGGCTTTTGTGGAGCTAGAGAAGTATCACACGCATAGGCAGTATTACGATGATCTTGTTCGTTCGAGTTATAAGGTTTCGAAAGCTGGCGGTATTTTCAAGTATCACTTTGCTGGGGGCCGTGAGTTTTGGTGTGGGGCCTTCGAGGCTGTGCTGATTCCTCTCTGGAACCCCTTGGAGATTGAGTCGGTCCTGCCTGCCCAAGCCTTAGCCGCGTTGGAAGCTCTGGCCGATCATTTTGCGATAGAACGTCTTTCTAGAGAGAGGGCCAATCGTTCGGCCAAGTGGAAGGATTGGTGCACTGAGGCGCTGGCAGGTGGAGCGAAGTGGGCTCACGCCTACACTGAGGCAGCGGATGCTCGAAAGCAAGACCTGCTGCCGACCGACGACGGCCACGTGACGTCGTGCCTCGCCGCCCAGCTCGCTCAGGAGAAGGGGAATTGGTCAGAAGCTTGGGGGGCCAACAAGAAAACTGCTGGAGGCCCACTGGAATGGCCTTCGTCTAATATTCCAGAGCCCCCGAGCCCCGAAGAGATCATTCGCATCTCCAAGCGCTTCAAGAGAAATACGATCGCAGCAGATGGGTGCCATCCGAGGCATTATCAGTTTCTCTGCTCACAGGCCCTTTCGTGCCTCAGCTGTATTTTCTGTATTATGCTTATCTTGGGGTCCACCCCTACTTGGATGCAGACCCTTGTGGTTGCGCTCTTCAGGAAACCTGTCTTGGGGCGGAGGCCAATAGGCTTCTTCCAAACCTTGGTTCGGACATTGTCAAGATGGAACACCGGTGTGTGCAAGTCTTGGGAGAAAAGCATTTCGGATGGTGGTATCTTCAGTATGGCTCCTGGACGGAGCCCGACAGATACGGTTTGGCGCCAGACTGTTCGAGGTGACCTTGCGTTTTCCAGGCGAGGGCGCGTGCTCAGCCTGCTTGCCGACTTGAAGCAGTGCTATGAGCACGTGCAGCACCAGCAGCTGATCAATTCGGCGTTGGACTGGGGATTTCCGATGCATGTGCCCAGGTTTTCTATTCGCACGTACGCGTGGCAGAGGATCCTGAGCCTAGACGGTATGTGCGCTGATGCAGTTATGCCAGCTCGGGGTATAGTAGCGGGAAGCAGCGCGGCTGCATGCGAGATTAAATGTTACTGCCTTCCTACAGTAGCGGAATATTGCGAGTGTCGTCTGCATCCCGAACTTGCTGTGCATGTGGGCGATGTTAGTCTCAATGAGAGGAACGAGGATTTGGAGCTTTGTGTGGTCAATATGGGTTTTGCTGTTGCTTTCTTGGTTGATCGTTTATCGAATTTATTTAACCTTCGCTTCTCTATGAAGAAGTTCGCCATTACAGGGACCTCTCCAGAGCTGGTAGCTCAGGCCCGTCTAGCTCTAGATCAGTATGCTGGCACATATGACCCGTCGATTGTCGACCTAGGATGCGACTTCGCGCCAGGTAAGCATTTGAGCGTCAGGAAAGCCAAGCAGATGCGAAATGAGCGGTGGGCCAAAGGAAGGAGGAGGTTGGGGAAGATCCGAAACCTTCGAAATCCCAAACGTGCCAGGGCGAAAATATGGTTCTGTGGTGTTAAGCCTGCCACTACTTATGGGGAGGAGGTGGTGGGTTGGACGCCGAGAGAGATTCGCAAATTATGAAGTCAGGCTGCTGGCTTTCTTGGATTGACATCCTGTGGAGCCGATTTAAATTTGGCACTTTCGCTGGGGCCGACTAGAGATCCTGTCAAGCATGCTGCTGCTACTCTTCGTCGTTTTGCTAAAGAAGTCTGGATGGCATCTACTCCTGGGCACCGCCATGGCGATGGGTTGTCTGTGGGGGAGCTTTCTAAGATTTTGTTTGCTGTCCAGAATTACATCCAGGAACGCTCCAGAAGTTCATGGGCCAAGAAATCCTGGGGACCCATAGGAGACATGATTCTCTGGCTCGGCATGGCGAACTGGCAGATTCGAGGCCCGCTCAGTTTTAGCATGAGCAACGGGGGCCCGCTGCTGTTGACAGATACGCCGTTCGTGCAGGTAGAGAAGTACTTCGTTCGAGATTTGTCTAAGGCCTACGTGGCCCAGAGTATGAGCAGGCACCTGAGGGACTCTGAACGTCCGAGGGCTCTGGATATTTTGCATCGTGGGCTGTGGACGGACCCGCCGAGGTCCTTTTGGGCCAGCAAAAAGCGTCATCGTGGTGTTCAAAAAGCTGTCAAAGAGATATTTTGCAGGTCGTATGTCACGGCCAAGCGTTTACATGATTGGAAGTACGAGATCCCTCCAGTGTGCCCTTTTTGCAGATCCCCCGAGGGAGGAGCCGAGGACGCTGTATGGCACCGCTGCTTTGTCTGTCCAGGTCTCTCTGACAGGCGAGATGAGGCATTGAGTGCTGATGTGGTTCGGCTAGCTGTGGAAGCTGGCCCCGACGATCCTCTCTACTCCAGCCTGTGGGACGCCCAGCCCGAGGGGGTTCAGGATGCCTTGTGGGATGGAGTGGTTCGGTATTTCGACAGGTCGGGGGAAACAACCAAGTTCATGTTCAGCCGTTGCGAAAAAACTGTACTCGGACGGTAGTTGCTACTCCCCCACCCATGTTTATGTGGCCCGTGCGGGCTGGGCCGTCATCCAAATAGACGGCGCAGGGGGCTTTGTAAGAGCTGTGTGTGGTAACCTGCCTGGTTTTCTGCCTCAGAGTGCTGTGTTCGCCGAGCACTGCGCCTTGCTCCAGGCCTCTGGAGCATTCTGAACACACTGTTGAGGACGAGCCGTTCAGGCTGAACGTGGACTGCCAGGCCCTTTTTGCAGGCCCTCGGGATCAGAGGGCATCGACGAGCGGGAGAACACCGCTCAGTGAAGTCTGGAAAGTGCTCTACTCCACGCCCCGCCCGCCTTTCGTGTTGAACAAGGTTAAATCCCATGCGGGGGGAGACGTTATTGGTGCGGCTCGGGTTCATAAGCGTGGAAACGATTATGTCGACGAGTATGCAAAGGACGGGGCCAAAATGCATCCCGAGATGGCCCAGCACATTGTCAAGTACGGGCTGGCTCTGAGTAGTTGGGAAGTCTTGGCAGTAGGCATGGGCCAAATTTTTGACAGCCTTCCAGAGGCCAGATCTCTTTTTGGTAAACTAGAGCGCGCCCCGAGAGTTCCCAGGCCTGTGGTCCTCCCCAGCGGCCTGAAGCCTCACCGTGTGCGCTGGAATGGGTGTCGGTGGCGGTGCCTTGCGTGCGCCCGTGCTTTTGATTCTAAGAATCCTAGGGGGTCCTGCGCGGCCTTAACCCCCTCAGTGCGTTCGCTAATTAATCAGGTCGACAACCCCAAGCCCCACACACTGCATGTCGCCAAAATTGTTCAATCTTCGTTGCCTGTGGTGTTGTGCCTCAGGTGTGGGGCTTATTGTACTGGGGCTCCTCGTCAGCTGCTGAAGCCCTGTGGTATAGTTTTTGCACAGCAGAGGAGACAGCTTCTGAGAGGCGACCTTCCCTGGCCGCGGGGACAGAATATCACAAGCCCTTGGCCACTCAGCCTCGCGCCTCATGAGGAGGCGGAGTGGTGGACCAAGCTTTTTTGATTGTGTTGTTGAATTGTCTTGGCGTGCTCGCCCTGTTGGGCGTGTTCTTTGGCCATTGCCTGTGGGCGGTGGCAGGGGCAGCCAGGCACCTGGGCCTCTGCCCTGCGCCTGCACGGCGGTCCTGGCCTTCGGGCTCCGCCCTGCAGGCGCGGTGTAGAGGTGGTCGGTGGTGTTTGGGGGCCCCTTTGCAGCCCCTTCGATCATGTATTGGTGGGGGCCAAGCGAGAGCCACTGGAAAAAGGAGGAGGAGGACGAGGAGGAAAGGGAGGAGGAGGAAAGGGAGGAGGAGAAAAGGGAGGAGGAGGAGGAGGAGGAGGAGGAGGAGGGATGAGGAGGAGGAGGAGGAGGAGGAGGAGGAGGAGGAGGAGGAGGAGGAGGAGGAGGAGGAGGTAGAGGAGGAGGAGGAGGAGGGGGAGGAGGAAAGGGAGGATGAGGAGGAGGACCAGTGTAAAACCAAGAGTCATCAACGATGTTGGAATTCACCCTCCCTCCAAGCTCTCTCTTCATAGGCCCCCACAACGGTTCATTTCCATTGAGGGAACTGCCTCGTTGGAAGAGAACCCGTTGAAGATCCTGAAGCATGCCAAAACATGGTTCCCAGGATTTTTCACGCCACGTATCAACCCGACTGCTGCGTCTTGACGATCCAGAATCGTGCCAGAGCGCAATTTTCGGGACTTCAACACCACGAACCAAAATAACTGTTGCACCCGCGTAATCCTGAATCCTTCCAAAACGCCGTTTCTGGTCCGTGGACCATGGGAATCCGTGAAACTCTTTCAAATTCTGAGGACGAACATGCGCGGCGCTGAGGCGAGATCCACATTTTGAAAAGGAACCGCCCTCAATTCGTGAAACTCTTACAAATTTTGAGGACGAGTGTGCGCGGCGCTGAGGCGAGAGCCACATTTTGAAAAGGAACCGCCCTCAATCCGTCAAGCTCTTGCAAATTTTTAAAACGGATATGTGCGGCGCTAAGGGGAGAGCCACATGCTGAAAACCACCCGCCCTCAATCCGTCAAACTCTTGCATTTTTTAACGAATGTGCGCGGCGCTGAGGCGAGAACCACATTCTGAAAAGAAACCGCCCTCAATCCGTGAAGCTCTTGCAAATTCTAAAAAACGAATCTGCGCGGCGCTAAGGCGAGAGCCACATATTGAAATGGAACCGCCCTCAATCCGTCAAGCTCTTGCAATCTTTTTAAAACGAATGTGCGCAGCGCTAAGGCGAGAGCCACATTTTGAAAACCACCCGCCCTCAATCCGTGAAGCTCTTGCAATTTTTTAAAAGCGAATGTGCGCGGCGCTGAGGCGAGAGCCACATTTTGAAAACCACCCGCCCTCCATCTGTGAAACTGTTGTCATTTTGAAAGCTTCAGAGTCATAAGTTGTGAGGAAGTCTCAGGCGAAACGCCTGGCCTTTCCTAAAAACTGGCCTCGGGGTGCGACAGGGAGGAGCCATCTATAAGGAGAAGGAATGGAGGAGGAGAAGAGCTGCCGCAGTCTCCACTGGCCGTCCTAGCCGGGCGACGTTGGCTCCCACTCGCCCCTTCTTGGCCGGTCCAGGCCTGGGTGGCCCGGTTTGCCCAGGCCAGTGGAGTGGGACTTCCGGTTTGCCCAGGCCAGAGGAGTGGGCCTTCCCTCTCGGGGGCCTATATTCAGGGCTCGTCTCGATTCCTCCGATTCGATTCGCTTCGATCCGGTCTGGAGTCCGCTTGCTTACTGGAGGCGTACTTGCCTGCCGATTTCCGCCGATTCGGCTTCTCCCGACTCGGCCGCCGATTTTCGCTGATTTGATTAATTTCGATCGTCGATCCGACATCGATTCGATTCTGGGCTCTCCTGCTTAGTGCTGATCTATCGGCAGCTCATTGTCGATTCAGGTTATTGTTCCCCTCCCTTCGGCAGTCTCTCCATTCGACTGCCCCCAGGCTGGTACGCTCACGGAGACCAACGAGGACGTCGGCGTGCCTGGGGACCTCTACCGCATCCAGAAGAACAGAAGCGGCATGCAAACAACGACGTTCGGAGTTCCTATCGGGTCGGACGAGTGGGGGGATGGGGACAGGGGGGTAGGCGGCGCTAGGACGAGGATTAATCCGTTCCAGATTGTTCCGGAACGCTATCAGAGCGCAGAGCGTTCCGGAACGCTCTGAGAAGTCTGCGGCGCTTGAGACATCCTCCAGAGCCGCCAGATCTCAGAGATTCTCGATTCATCCCCACCCGAATATATCTTCGTCCTGGCTTCGTCTTAGGATGGGGGAAGGGGGGGAGGAAATCGTGTAGATGGCTTCGCCTCCGCCGCTGGGCGCCTTCCTCGACGCACGGCCGCGCCGCTGGGAGGCGCCGGGAAAACCATTGGCGTGAGCGATTCGCTAACTCTCCCTTTGCTATCCCTCCAGTTCAGGGCTGGACCTAAACGCTGTTTTGCTGGACTTCGGCTGTGTCTTGTTTTTCGTTTTGGCAGGGGGGTGCAGGACAACGGGCAGGGCAAAACGAAAAACATAACGAAGGCAAGACGAACAACAGCGCTTAGGTCCAGCCCCGCGTTCCAGTTCGCCCGCCCCGAAGCACACACGCAAATCTCTGGAGGCCCTGGGTCACCCACAGGGGCGCGAAGGTGATCCCGCTGCGTGCTTCTCGCCTTCTCCAGGGCGGCTGCGCGAGGGCGCAGAGGTAGCCGCACGTCGCGCACCGCAGCACGCGATGCGCGAAGTCAGGTGACCTAGGATTAAGGCGGGCCTGTCCCTCTACAGGGGGAATGCTCACAAAATAGTCGAGCAAATAGGATGGAGGGCGCGGTCGGCGCTGGGCACCCCCCAGGCGGCGCCTCTGGCCCCGCCCTCAGCGCATTCTGCGCGCTAGGGCAGGGAGGTCCAGCGCCGACCCAAGACGCCCGTGCGGACCTTCGAAAATTCTGTGCTCACAGCCAGCACGAGGGTTGCTGACATCCATGGCTTTGAAGGGGCGCCCTTCTGTTCCATGTGCTCGGTGGGCCCTCTGGGCCCTCTCTGGAGGGGGGAAGGTGGGCATCGTTTAACTGATCCCCATCCCCGCTAGCGTCGCCTCGGCCCCGCGAGCCGACTTTACCTCCCAGGTCGGGGACAGAGGCGGTTCCCTTCGGGTTTCGCGGGGCTTGTGGCCCAGATTTGGCTGGTGGGGCTGAGATGCCATGGCCGTCCCGACCGGTCTTTTGGCGGCCCCGGGGCCCCGTATGGCGGCTCCCGTGAATCACCGAGCGCGTTTTGCTACTCGCAAAGTGCCTACTCGCAAACGTCTGAAAACAAGTGCCTTCCTCCGTGGAATGGACTGTAAATCCCTCGCGGCGGATCCAGGCCATTTGCGAGTACGTTCTCTTGGCGAGTCGTGGACGGCCCTTGTCCCTAGTGGAGCCGGACACTGCAGAGTCTTCTCCCGCCGGGATCGGCGCGAGGAGGCCAGGGTATGTATGCCGCCCGTCTGTTCTCCTGGCATCCGCCTGCACACCGCGGGCAAGTGGCGCACCGTCTCCTGGGCACGGCTGCCGGGCGGCCGGCGCGACCAGCCCGCAGAGGCCGCGTAGCCGCTCCGCCGGCGCCCGCCGAGGCTGGCGCCGCGGCGGCGCGCTCGCGCGGCAGGTGCTCGGGCCGTGCGCGGCGCCTCGGCTCGCCTCGCGCGGCGGGCGACGTTGGCCCCCCCCCCTTCGGAGGAGGAGGAGGAGGAGGAGGAGGAGGAGGAGGAGGAGGAAAAGGAGGAGCAGGAGGAGGAGGAGGAGGAGGAGGAGGAGGAGGAGGAGCAGGAGGAGGAGGAGGAGGAGCAGCAGGAGGAGGAGCAGGAGGAAGAGGAAGACGAAGAGGAGGAAGGAGAGGAGGATGAGGAGGAGGAGGGAGGGGGCGACGAGAAGGAGGACGAGGAGCAGGCTGGGATCTGATTCTGATTGGGAGGAGAAGGAGAGAGGAGGAGTGATGAGGTATGAGGGAAGAGGCAGGAGGGAGTACCGTTCCGTCCTCCAGTACTTTCTCCGTCCACGATTCCCCCCTCTCTCCTCCACTCCTCTCTCTCGTCATCCCCATCCTCCTCACTCCCCCCTCCGGCTCCTCACCCCCTCCATCCCTTTACTTCTAACTAATTCCTCCCTGTCGCTCCCCAGGCGTGTAGCTAAGGTGGGCTGTGCGTTTCGCCTGAGACCTCCTCACCATGTCTGATCCTGAAACTTGAAACAGTCAGCAGTTTTACGGATGAAGAGCGGGCCGTTTCCAAAGCGCAGCTCTCGCCTTTGCGCTTCGCGCGTTCGCTTTGCTAGCTGCAACAGCTTCAGGGATTGAGGGGGACGGTTTTCAAAATGTGGCTCTCGCCTTAGCCTCGCGCGTGTTAATGGCAAAATGACGCAACAGGTTGAATTATGGATGGGGATGGTTTTCCAAATATGTTCTCGCCTTTGCGCCGCGCGCTTTTCTGAGATGTCAAGCTTTGTAACCGTTTCAAGGATAGAGGGCGGTTCTTGTTCAATCTGTGGCTCTCGCGTCAGCGCTGCGCGCTCGTCGCAAGCAGTTGCATCAGCTTCAGGAGCGCAGTAGGGAGGTGCGTTTTTTTTTGTGTGTTTTGTTTTCGACATGTTCCTAGATAGCTCCTTCGAAAGCTAAATGTTTTTTAGAGAAGAAGCAGGCAGGCAGGGGTAGACCTGGTCCCCTTCCTGGCATTTTGGCAGGGAATCTCGCAGCGGCTTGCTGGAGGCTCTAGCTTGTCCCAGAAGCGTTTTCCCAGTCGTCCCGGTTCGTGCGCCGCAAGGGTTTTCGAAGCTCCTTCGCAGCGCTGCCAGGGCCCTTTCGCAGCTCCTTCGCAATGCTTCCAGAGACGCGTGCGTTGCCCTGCTGTCTGGGTTCTGGAGTTCCACGCGTGGCTCTCGCCTCAGCGCCGCGCACACTCTGCCTGAACACGTGCAACAGTTTCAGGGATGGGGGCGGGTGGGGTGCCGTTTCCAAAATGGTGCTCCCGCTTCCGCCCCGCGCGCGCTCGTTTTGTTTTTTTGTGAGAGCGTCACGGGTGGAGGCCTGGCCATTTTCAGATTGGTGCAGCCGTTTCAAGGATTGAGCGTCGGTCGTTCTCAAACTCGGGCTCTCGCCTCAGAGCCTTGGAACAAAAAAAGACGCAACGCTAATTCATAGTTTTCTCAAATGCAGCGCTAATGCATACATGTCTATAAAAAGCGGGACACTCGCTGGAGACTTCGCACATTCCCCAAGAAGGCCGAAACTTCAACACGTGTGCGCTGCAGGGATCCCGGGCGGCTCTCTTTCTCAAGCCGGAGCCATCGTTTGGGACTGCCTCGAAGCTTACGACCACACGCGCAAGCCAGATCATAACAAATCAACGAACAGTCTCCCATGTCAGGGAGCTGATTTCATAGTTAACCTGCACGTGTAAATTCACAACTTCATATACGCTCGAGAGAAACAAGGGGAGGTACATATACAATCTGCCTCTGCTGCTGCTGCCCCTCCTCCTCCTCCTCCTCCTCGTTCTCCTCCTCATCCTCGTCCTCCTCCTCCTCCTCCCTCTTCCTCTCACTCCTCCCCTTCCCTTCTCTTCTTCCCCCATTTTTGCCCTTCCGTCTTCCTCCCCTTTCCTCCTCCCCAGCCCTTGCTCCTGAACCTCCTCGCTCCTGCTGCTGCTGCAGATGCTCCTCCACCTCCTTCTCGTCCTTCTCACCTTTCCTCCCGCTGCTGATCCTGCTGCTCCTCTTTCCTCTCTCTCTCCTCCGAAGGCCGCGGTTTGCACGAGCGTAACTCCTTCGGCCTTCCAGACGTGGGGACATAAGCTCACAGGAGTGTTGTCCCTCCATTGTGCAACCAACACATGCGCATCCTGGGACCATACCCGGGATTTGACATGTGAGGAGGATGTTTTTTCGTCCTTTTCGTGTTGTCCCCATTTTCCCCTCCTTCCCCTCCTCATCCTCCCTGTCCTCCTTCCGCGTCTTCTCCTCCTCTTCGTCCTTGTCCTTCCTCCTCGTTCTCCTCTGCGGTCTCCTACTTGTGCTTCCCCATCTCTTCCTTCCCTTCCTCCGCCGTTGCCTCCTCCTCCTTCTCCTCCCCCTCCTCCTCCTTCTCCTCCTCATCCTCCTCCTCCTCTTCCTCCTTCTCGTCGTCCTCCTCCTCCTCCTCCTCGTCCTCCTCCTCCTCCTTACCCTCCTTCTCCTCCTCCTCCTTCTCCTTTTCCCTCCTCCTCCGCCCGGGCAGCGCAGTAGCTCGGCCTGCCAGCTCTGGTGAGGCACGGATAAGAGGACCTGCGGGCAGCACACGCTCTGCCCCAGGGAGTCGCGAGCGGCCTTCGCGCACGAGAAACATCGGGCGTGTGCTGTTCGAGGGAGGAGGAACCTCACACCGGTCTTTCAGAGCATGAGTGAGTCCACATTTTCATGTCTTGGATTTACCTCGCCACGCTCTACTTTGTTTTAACTTTGCTTCCTTGTCCTTCCCCTTTCTCTTTGCGTTCCCTTTCTCTTGGCGGTTTTGCTCCTTCCTTTAGTGCTTCTCCCTCCTCTAGCCTTTTCTTGTCCTTCCTTTCATCTCTTGTCTCCTTCCCCTCTTTGCCTTTCTTCGTCCTCTTCAGACTTTCCTTTCTGCAGTCTTGGCTTGTGCCATTACCGTTGCATCAAGGTTATCAGTGAGGGTCTCTTTCGTCCTGAAACCCGTTGGTGTAAGCATAGTCTAGACAAAATCACAATGCACGGATGAGCGGGAGCATGAGAAGGAGGAGGTGGAGGCAGAGGATGGGGCGGAGGATGGCGATGATGGCGATGCTGCGGATACGATGAGGCCGAAGATGATGCTGATGATGATGATGATGATGAAGATGAGGAAAAGGATGATGATGATGCTGATGATGATGACGATGATGATAATAATGACGATGATGATGATGATGGTGGTGGCGGTCAACGATGATGATGACGATGGTGATGATTATGATGATGACGATGCTGATGCTGATGCTGATGATTACGATGATAATGAGGATGATGAGGATGATGATGATGATGATGATGATGATGGTGATGCTGATGCTGATGCTGATGCTGCTGCTGATTCTGATGATGATGATGCTAATGATGGCGATGCTGATGATGATGATGCTGGTGCTGATGATGATGCTGATGCTGATGCTGATGACGATGACGATAATTATGACGAGGAGGAGGGGGAGGAGGAAGATCAGGAGGAGGAGGAGGAGGAGGAGGACGAGAGGGAGGAGGATAAGTAGGAAAAGGATGGGGAAGAAAGGAACTGCAGAAGGGTGATGATGATGATGATGCTGATGGTAATTTTGGTGACGATGATGATGATGCTGATGATGCTGATGCTGATGCTGATGCTGTTGCTGTTGCTGCTGTTGACGATGATGATGATGATGATGATGATGATGATGATGATGATGATGGTCGTGATGATGATGAAGATGATGATAGTGATGATGATGGTGCTGCTGATGATGATGATCATGGTAGTGGTGATGATGATGATGACGGTTGTGGTGGTGATGGTGAAGATGCTGATGGTGATGATGATGATGGTGGTGCTGATGATGATGATGATGACGATGTTGATGCTGATGCTGATGCTGATGCTGATGCTGATGCTGATGCTGCTGTTGACGATGATGATGATGATGATGATGATGATGATGATGGTGGTCGTGATGATGAAGATGATGATAGTGATGATGATGGTGCTGCTGATGATGATGATCATGGTAGTGGTGATGATGATGATGATGATGACGGTTGTGGTGGTGATGGTGAAGATGCTGATGGTGATGATGATGATGATGATGATGTTGGTGCTGATGATGATGATGACGATGGTGATGATTATCATGATGACGATGTTGATGCTGATGCTGATGATGACGATGATGCTGAGGATGATGATGATGATAATGGAGATGGTGATGCGGATTCTGATGCTGCTGCTGATTCTGATGATGATGCTAATGATGGCGATGTTGATGCTGATGCTGATGCTGGTGCTGATGATGATGATGATGATGCTGAGGCTGATGCTGATGCTGATGACGATGACGATGATTATGACGAGGAGGAGGGGGAGGAGGATGAGGAGGAGGAGGAGGAGGAGGAGGAGAGGGAGGAGGACGAGTAGGAGAAGGATGGGGAGTAAAGGAACCGCAGAAGGGTGGTGATGATGATGATGATGATGATGATGCTGATGATATTAATGACGACGATGCTGATGATGCTTATGATGATGATGCTGCTGATTCTGATGCTGTTGCTGCTGATGACGATGATTATGCTGATGCTGATGATGGTGATGATGGTGATGCTAGTGATGCTGATGGTGCTGATGATGCTGATGATGATGATGGTAGTGGCGATGATGATGATTGTGGTGGTGAGGATGATGATGGTGATGATGATGATGATGGTGATGATGCTGATGGTGGTGGTGGTAATGATGCTGATGGTGATGATGCTGATGATGATGATTCGGTTGATGATGATGATGAGGATGAGGATGATGCGGATGATGATGAGGATGAGGATGCGGATGGGGATAATAATGAGAACGATGATGATGATGATGATGATGACGATGAGGATGCTGATGATGCTGATGGTGATTATGATGGTGATGATAATACTGACGACGATGATGATGATGGCGATGCTGATTATGATGATGATGATGGTGGTGATGATGATAATGATGGTGGTGATGATGATGATGATGGTGATGGTGATGATGATGATGATGATGATGATGATGATGATGATGATGATGATGATGATGGTGGTAGTGATGATGATGCTGACGATGATGATGATGATGCTGATGCTGATGATGACATTGCTGCTGGTGACGGTGATGGTGATGGTGATGATGGTGATGAGGATAATCATGATGATGGTGAAGATGATGATGATGACGATGAGGATGTGGATGAGGATAAGGATGATGCTGATGCTGATGAGGATGATGATGGTGCTGATGATGATGATGCCGGTGATGATGATGATGATGGTGATGATGATGATGATGATGATGGTGATGATGATGCTGATTGTGGTGGTGGTGATGATGATGGTGATGACGATGATAATTATGATGATGATGCTGATGATGTTGACGATGGCGACGATGATGATTGTGATGATGCTGCTGCTGCTGATGATGATGATGATGATGACCATCATGATCATGCTTCTGATTCGTTTGATGACGATGATGATCATGCTGGTGTGGCTGATAAAGCTGATGAGGCTGATTTTGTTGATAAAGACGATGGTGATGATGATGCTGATGATGTTCATGATGTTTATGATGCTGATGATGATTCTGATGACGATGCTAATGATGCTGCTGATCCTGCTGCTGACGTGATCATGATTCGTATCATGATGATGGTGGTGGCGGTGAACGATAATGATGATGCTGATATTGATGATGATGATTATGATGATGATACTGGTACTGACGATGATGCTGATGATGCTGATGATGACGATGATGGTGAATGTGATGATGCTGCTGATGCTGATCCTGATGCTGATGCTGATTCTGATGCAACGGCTGCTGCTGTTGATGATGTGGATGCTGATTATTATTATGACGATTGTGACGATTCTGACGATGTTGATGATGCTGATGCTGCTTATGCTGATGCTGATGCTGATGCTGTTGCTCATGATGATGATGATGATGATGATGATGATGATGATGATGATGATGACGATGATTAGGATGACGACGAGTATGATGATGCTGATGCTGATGCTGATGATGATGATGATGCTGCTGATGATGATGATAATGGTGATGATGCTGATGCTAATGCTGATGCTGATGCGGATGCTGATGCTGATGCTGATGCTGATACTGATGATGATGATGATGATTATGATGATGATGATGGTGCTGCTGCTGCTGCTGATGATGATGATGATGATGATGATGATGCTGATAGCGGCGACGATGACTTTGACGAGCATGAGGGGGAGTAGGAGGAGCAGGATGGGGAATAAAGGAGCTGCAGAAGGGTGATCAATTCCAGCGGCACGCAGGAGTACAGCTCTCAGAGTGGAGCCACATCTAACGGTCGCGTGCCAGACCCCGCTTTGCCACATCGAAATTCCCGAACTCCTCACTCTGTGCCACACAGGACTCATCCAGGACCCAATGTTGCTGATGTTGCTTTTAGTTGTTGTTGTTGTTGTTGTTGTTGTTGTTGCTGTTGTTGTTGTTGTTGTTGTTGTTGTTGTTGTTGTTGTTGTTGTTGATGTCCATGTTGTTGCTGTTGTTGTAGTTGTTGTTGTCGTCGTCGTCGTCGTCGTCGGTTTTTGTTGTTGTTGTGGCTGTGGCTGTGATGGCGGTGGTTATTGTGGTTGTTGTTGCTGCTGCTGGAACTGCTGTGCCACCCCCCCGTCCAGAACCAGTCGATATCGAAGGATCGGCGAGATAAGACAGCCGCGATCGTTCAAGATTGAAAGACCCATGTGGTGTCGGAGACCTGCGCCGACGTCGTCACGACATGAACCTGCTGGATCTCTCCCCTTCTTCCTCCACCCCCAGGTGCAATCCCCTACAGCCTGTGCCGCACTCAGTGCCGCAACCACACCTCGGGATCGATGTCGTATTGAGTGGCGCACTGGCCCTTCAGGACCTGGTGCCGAATTCTGTGGCGAACACACCCCTCGGAGCCCAGTGCCGCAATCAGGGTTGACCACTCACTCCACCCCGGACCTCGTGCCGCACTGTGGCTGGGTCAATCTCCCAGGACTCAGCCTTGTTGCCGTTGTCGTATGCGGCCTCCTTCTGTGCTGATTCTGCTTCCCGCACACCTCGCTAATTACCTGGGATCTAGCGCCTCACATAGTTGCTGATGCTGCGCCCCCTTCGGACCATTTCTCTTGCCGTGCTGGGCTTATGGCGTCCTGAGCGTCTGGGGTTCGCCTGTTTGGGCCTGGCCTTGGCAGAGTCTTGCCAGAGCCCAATGCAGGGCACGGACATAGTGTCAGCGTCAGTGCGTGTCTGCCCGCGTGCACGCGTTCGTGCGCGCGCGTGCGCGCCCGTGTGTGCGCGTGTGGGTGACTACACCTTAGGCGATGCTTAAGAAAACTTAAGTTTTCGGCCAGAGTCTCGATTATTCTTAACGTTTCAATGTAAATCATAAGATTTTAATCGAAATGTTGGGTTTTAATTCAAGTTCTGAGACTATGAATTTCTGAACCCATTATTTCTTAAACATTTCGCAGGGTGTAGCCTGGCTGCAGGCCGCCAAGCCGAGAGCAGCCATGGTGGTGGCGGCCCTGCTCCTCCTCGGCCTGGCCTGCGGGTGGCCCTGCGTGGCCGCTGGGCCTCTCAACGTTGGCATCGTTGGCGCCGGGCCTGCCGGGCTGAGCTTCGCTCTGGGGCTGCGCAGGCTGCTGGGGGCAGACGTCCGCGTGCGCGTCTTCGACCGTTCCGACCAGCTGCGGCCGCAGCTGGGAGGCGGCGTGCAGCTGAACAGCGGCGCCGCGGTGCTGGGCAGGCTGGGGTTGAGACCGGAGCTGCTCGCCGCTGGCAGGCCCGCGCGGCGGGTGGTGTCCCGCAACGTGGACAGGGACGTGCTGCTGGACTTCGACATGCAGAGAGCCTGAGAGCAACGGTGCGCATAGACTGAAACACCTGACGTCCGCGGACGGTTTCTCCGCGGGCCGCCCGGCCCTCTCGCCGCACCCTGGGCTGCGCCCTCGGCGCCGCCCCCTGCGCGCCGCGGAGGGGTGCGTCACGAGGTGCCAGAAGTCAAGAGAGGAAGAACCACCCGGACCCGACAATTGGCGCTTCCTAAACAGCCCTGGGCGTTTACTAAACAGCCCTGCCCCGTTCGATTCCTTCTTTGGGTGCGTTTACCAAATGGCCTCGCTTGCCGGGGTGGTTATTATGGGGCTGCATTCCTTGCCCTGTAAGAAGGTGTCCCTTGCCCAAGGTGGCCCCAGCTTTTCCAGGGGAGGCCCAGGTGGCCTCCAGAGCACTCCTCACGAGGTCTGGAGGCCCCTCGGGCGCAAGAACGGACGCGAAAAGCTGGGGGCGCCCGATGGCATCGCTTGGGTGTGGGGAGGGGGTCTGGCGCCGGCGGAGAAATCGCCCGCGGTCGTCCGGCGTTGACCTGATCCGTGTGTGTGGAGCTTCCAGGCCCTCTGGCATCGAGGGCGCGCTTCGAGAGGACCCTCGCTCGAGGGAGGCGGGCCTGGTGGGCGATGACGGGAACGTGCTGGCTCTGACGATCATGCGGGACCGCCTCCAGGAGATCCTCGCCGGTGCCCTGCCGGCCGACATCCTGGAGTTCGGCAAGAGCCTGGCCGACGTGAGGCTGTGCCCCGGCAGCGGCGGTGACCCCGCGGTGCGGTGCACCTTCGAGGACTGATGGGCTTGCTTTCCACCACCACCACCAGAAGTTGGAGGGGGGAAGGAGGTGGGGGACGAGGAGGAGGAGGACGAAGAGGTGGAGGAGGAGGAGGAGGAGGAGGAGGAGGAGGAGGAGGAGGAGAAGGAGGAGTAGGAGGAGGAGGAGGAGGAGGAGGAGGAGGAGGAGGAGGAGGAGGACCCCCTCCCCCTCCAGCTGATGGTGGTGGTGGTGGTGGAAAACGGGCCCACCCAGGACGGCGACGAGGCCGACTTCGACCTGCTGGTCGGGGCAGACGGCATCCGGTCCGTCGTCCGCGAGCGGGTGGTCGGGGGCGGCGACGAGCCAGGGAACACGAGGATCCGGATCATTTGGGGCGTGGCGCCGGCAGGCTCGCGCCCTGCGGGCTCCGAGGAGGATCATCGGCGTCACCCCAACATACTTGTACTATATGTGCGTCGCCCCCCTATGGGGCGACGCGCGCACCGAGAAATCTTATAGCATATGCGTCGTGGCGGGCGCTTTCTGGCCACGCCGCTCGGGAAACGATATACTACAAGATGGGTATACTATATGTTCGGGTCGGACGCGCGCCTCCAAGGAGTACATATAGTATTGGTATGTCTCTGTGCGTCCCAGATCGGGGTGATAGGGGAACGAACAATGACATAAACATAAAAACTCGGAGCTCCGCGTGGATTTCTCGGATCGGCGCGGGACCCCCCTGGCGGCGGCCTCCGGCGCCGCCTCTGGCGCGTGGGTTCCAGCGCCGACCCGAGAAATCCGCGCGGACCTCCGATTTGTGAAGTCTATTTCATTGTTCGTTCCCCTAGGGGAGATAACGTGTGTGTGTGTGTGTGTGTGTGTGTGCGTGCGTGTGCGTGTGTGTGTGTGTGTGTGTGTGTGTGTTCCCGGCCTCCTCCTCGCAGCGGTCGCCGGAGGTGATCCCGGCCCAAGGTGCCCCCCAGGCCAGGGCGCCGTTTTCTGGGCGCCCCGGCCTCCTGCGAGGTGCTCTGGAGGCCTTCGGGGGGCGGAAAAGAGGGGGGTGGTGACTGGGGGGGGGGGGGATCTCATGGCGTGGGCCATGAGATTTCCCCAGATCTCATGGCGCCTCGTCTTATTCCATTACGTCCCTGGCCCTCCCCCCGCTGGGCCGCGCACATGCCGCCGGTCACGATTTGCCCCCCCCCCTCTTGGACACCCCCCTCTTGGTCGCTCCCGAGCCTTCGGGGGGCCTCCTCATACAGGTTGAGGCCACCTCTGACGACCCCCGGGGCCTCCTTCTCCTTCCCTTGCGGCCGGTTGGTGTCGTGTCGACGCGGCCGCGACCCCGGCGCGGGCGCTCAAGTAGGGTCGGAAGACCGCCGCCGGGGTCGCCCGCACTCGTTCGCTCCCGACCGGTCCTGCGCGATCGGGGAGCCGCGATCGTCCAAGGCTGAGCGATCCACGCGGGCTCCGAAGCCCACTCACAACAGGGGAACGAACAATGGCTCAAACATAAAAACTCAGAGGTCCGCGCGGATTTCTCGGATCGGCGCTGGGGTCCCCTGGCGGCGCCTCCGGCGCCGCCCCTGGCGCGCTCCGCGCGCCAGGGAGGGGGGTCCAGCGCGGATCCAAGAAGTCCGCCCGGACCTCCGCGTTCTTGTGTTTATGTCATTTGTCGGTTCCCCTGCACAAGGCGCCACGACGCGAGCCCACCGCACTCTCGCGCCGTTCCCCGCTTCCCCAGAGGAGCTGCACCAGTGGTTCGGCCGCGGGTGCTACTGCCTCAGCGCGAGCTACGGCGGCCGCGACGGCAAGACGTACGACCAGTGCGTGGCCGTGTTCGCCGACGACTCCGGCTTGCCGGACATCAACCCATCCTGGGACGGCGGGGCCCGCACAACGGGGGGTCAGCGCAAGCGGGGCTGGGCCGGTCCCCTCCCAGACCCGCTGGCTGATCTTGGATTGGGAGATCGACGACAGAACTGGCTTACCCCACAATTGACTTGTTGGTCGAATCCAAGAGAGATGCGCGTACATCTAGTAGACCTACGAAGAGTCTACGTCTTTCTTGTAGATTCGACGAAGAAAAGAAGGAATGGTGGCGGAAATCAATCCTGTAGTCGATCTCCTGCTCGAAATCTGGGTCCGGGAGTCACCTGGAGCCGATCCCCCCCTCCCCTCCCTCCACTGACCCAGGTTGGTGAGCTGCCTCGTGGCAGGCCCGTGTTCGCGACATGGGCCTTGGCTGACCCGGGATTGCGCTGACCTGGGCTAAACGTCCCCGAGGACACCGCGGAGGCGAGGGGCTCCCTGGTGGCCCGCTGCGAGGCGGGCGGCATGCCGGCGGAGGTGCTGCGCGTGGCGTCCGCGTGTGAGCGCGTCTTCGAGCTGGGCTCCTACTTCTCGGAGGCTGCCAGAGGTGCCCCCGGCCCAGGGCGGCTCCAGCTTCTCAAGGGGTGCCCAGGTGGCCTCCAGAGCACCACTCACGATGCCCAGGGAGCCTCATTGGCTTCAGATTGGCGAACGTCGAAGATGAGAAGTCTGCATGAACATAAACTTGTGGTGCGCGGAGCGCGCCAGGGGCGGTGCAGGAAGCGCCGCCAGGGGGATCCCAGTGCCGATCCAAGAAATTTGGGCGGAGTTCCACAAGTTTATGTTTATGCAGTTTGTTATTATTATGACTTTTTATTATCATTATTCTTAATCTTATTCTTATTATTCTGATTCTTATTCTTATTATTGTTCTGATCCTTATTCTTATTATTATTTTTATTATTATTATTATTCTTATTCGTATTCTTATTCGTATTCTTATTCTTCTTATTATTCTTATTCTTATTCTTATTCTTATTCTTATTACTATTCTTATTCTTATTTCTATTATTATACTTATTCTTATTCTTATTCTTATTCTCATTCTTATTCTCATTCTTATTCTTATCCTTCGTCTTCTTATTCTTATTCTCATTATTATTCTTATTCTCATTCTTATTCTTATTCTTATCCTTCTTCTTCTTCTTCTTCTTCTTATTATCCTTCTTCTTCTTCTTCTTATTCTTCATCCTTATTATTATTCTTATTATTATTCTTATTCTCATTCTTATTCTTATCCTTCTTCTTCTTCTTCTTAGTATTATTATTTTTTGTTGTCACTCTTCTTCTTCTTCTTCTTGAAAGTTCAAGTTGGGGCAGCCGCGGGGCCAGACTCACCCTTGGCGGCCTCCGAGCCTCCGCAACCCGCTGGTGCCCTGGTCGGGGCTAGGGGGCCGCGCGGTCCTGCTGGGCGACGCGGCGCACGCGATGCCCCCGTTCCTCGGGCAGGGGGCGAACCAGGTCACCATGGGCCAACGGGATCCCAATCGGCGTCACCCAAGCACATACTCCTGCTGCGTGTACGTCGCCCCCAACGGGGCGACGCGCGTGCTCAGAACTCTGGCAGCATCTGGTGGCCTTCGGCCCATCGCCCGCCACCGTGGCTGGGTTGTGGATCGGAGTTCTCAGGGATGCTTCTTGGGGTCGCTTCGCAGCGCTCTCGGAGGCCTCTCGGGGGCAGTTTTGGGAGCCTCTTGGGGGCCTCTTGGGGCCTCCCGAGGGCCCCCTCAGAGCCGAGGGCTCGAAATGTCTGTTCGGGCCCTTCTTTTGGGCGCCTCTTGGGCCGTCTTGGGGCCCTCTTGGGCCGTTTTGGGCCCTCTTAGAGGCCGCTGGGGCCGCCATGAGGCGATCTTGGGGGCCTCTTGGGCTGTCTTGGAGCGTCGGGAGGCCGAAAAGGCGAGAAGGTCACAATCTTCAACATTCTTCGGTAAACCCTCAAATTTTGCCTCTTGGGGCTCTCTCGGGCTCGAGAGGCCTCTTGGAGGCGTCTTGGAGCGTCTTGGGAGCCTCTTGGGCTGTCATGGGCCATCTCGGAAGTCTTGGAGCGATCGTTCGGCGCCTTGAGGCCCGCTTGGGCCGTCTCGAGGGCCTCTTGAGGCCCTCGCGGTCCGTTTTGGGGCCCGCTGGGGCCCGGCAAAAGTCGCGCGAGGGGATGCGCCAGAGCCCCGACAAGCTGCGCCAAGCCCCAGGAGATTTGAGAATTTGGGGTCCGGACCCCACAGATCGCCCACGCGCAGAGGGGGGTACGGGGGAGGGGGGAAGCCTTCTCAGAAGCACCCCTGCTTCCTGGAAGGCGCGGGCCCTGTCTGCAGGTGTATGGCCGGTGCCTTCTCAGAAACGGCCTCCTGCCAAGAAGCCTTCCCAGGGAACCAAATGCGAACCCTGCCCCTGCCCCCCACGATTTCTGAGAGGAAGGGGGCGGTTCGCTTCGCTCGGGAGCTCCCGAGCGAAGTGAACCCTGCCCCCCCCCTCAGAAATCGTTGGGTGTAGGGGCAGCGTTCGCATGTGGGGTTCCCTGCTTCACCCCTCCTCCTCCTCCTCCTCCTCCTCCTCCTCTCCTCCTCCTCTCCTCCTCCTCCTTCCTTTCCCTCCTCCTTCCTCCTCCTTGTTCCCGACGGCACCGAAGCACGAAGACAGCAGCGAGGCACTGAATTAAAAGAGGAGGAGGAGGAGGAGGAGGAGGAGGAGGAGGAGGAGGAGGAGGAGGAGGAGGAGGAGGAGGAGGAGGAGAGGAGGAGGAGGAGGAGGAGGAGGAGAGGAGGAGGAGGAGGAGGAGGAGGAGGAGGAGGAGGAGGAGGAGGAGGAGGAGGAGGAGGAGGAGGAGGAGGAGGAGGAGGAGGAGGAGGAGGAGGAGGAGGAGGAGGAGGAGGAGGAGGAGGAGGAGGAGGACAGCATGGGTACTTCGAGAGTTGGTTCGGTGCCGCGCACACCCGGCGAGCTTCCCATTACTGCGAGAGTTGGTTAGATGCCGCGCACACCCGGCTGATAGATACCGCCCGCCTGCTCTTCGTGTCCCCCTTCATCACAATCCATCTTCACCCGCCTTCATGGTACTGCAAGAGTTGATTAGGTGCCGCGACACCGCGCCGCCTTCCCCATTGAAAAAACAGTGAAGTGAAACGTGAGTTGCGCCGCATTAAAAAAGCAGCGCGCCCGCGACAATCCAAACGCTGGCCGCGGGTCGTGTCTCGCCCTCGTGCTCGTACCCACCCCTCTTGCTCTGCTGCCCAATATCCCTCCAGCCCCCATTGGACAAACGGAACGATGTCAACGAACGCACACGTTGCCAGGAAGGGAGGAGAGGAGAAGGGGGATTGAGGCTAAGAGTAGAGAGGAGAGTATAAGGGGGCGAGGTCCTCCCTGAGAGCAGCGCTGTCGCCTGAAGAAGGCGGCCCGGCCGCCTCCGGCAGCCGAGTGGTGACAGCTTGGAACAGATGTGCCGCTCTGACAGCGCACAACTCCGAACTGTATTGCTCGGGTTGCGCTGCTCGGAGGTCGTCGGGGACGCCGCCGCTGGCAGCCTCGCGCGGGTGTCTGCCTGAGCTGTCTCTGTGGGAGCAGCGCCCTCCGCGCGGAAGGCTTGACACAGCCTGGCGAAACGAGGGCTGACCAACCAGTAAAAACTGGGTGGGTTCGACAGCGGTGGCCGCGAATTCGCACTGATCGACCCAGACAAAATCCAAGTTCCCGCTAATGTCTTGCCTGCCCAGGGTGCGCAGATGGACAACCTCTGGCAGGAACAAGCAAGAGGGAACCAGGGGGTCAGAAAGGGGCGCGGGGTGTGTAAAGGTGCCTGCCGCTCCAAACGTGTAGCAAGCATACATGAAAGTCAGACACGATCTGTACAGCGCATTGCCCAGTTCGAGTTGTCTCCACTCAGAAATGGAGCTCGTGGGGATCCCCCATAAACTACTGATGGATCTGACAGGGCGGGGGCCCCTGTGTCGTCCAAGAAAATTCGGTCGAACTGCTGACCACGTCGCTCGTGGCGGGTCCGCGAACACCCCAATCGCGTGCCCCTCCTGGATGAGGTCCATGAATAAAGGTATCGAATGTGACTCAAACGTGCATTCTTGGACCTCATCGCTGGCCACTGGCAAGCTTAGCATGACCAGAGGGGCTCCCGCGGCCGAGACTAAGCTTTCGAAGTGGTCCTGGACATCTCCGGGGCGGCGCGGGCCACCAAACAAGTGCGTGGGGATGTCGGAGCGGGGCGGGCGGAAGGGGGCATATTCAGTGTACGCCACGGCCGGGGCTGGGATGCGCGTGGGGACCCACAGGTGGCTTGGTGGCGGTGGAGGCAAAGCAGGGCCGTAGACTTCTTGCGGGGGGGTCTCGGCGGATGTAGGGCGAAACCCAACAGCGCTGAGGGCGACGGCATCCACGTGGTCCTGCTGCCGGAAAGCATCAGTTTCCCCCGCTGAGAGGAACCGCCCCCGTTGGATCAACCCTTGGAGACACGCTTCCGCGCCGTGCCGCAAATGCTTCAGGAGGCGCGGGCGGCTGTGGAAATCGCGAAGGCATATATGGCACACTCCTCCTGGCCCGGCCAGGGACCCGGCAAGGTCTGTGGACGGGTGTGCTTTCGTCCTGTGGGACCTCCAAGCCCCCGGCGTGTGGGCGACGTGGTCACACTCGTAGCATGGGTAAGCAACCGTCTGGTCTGGGGCGAGGCTTGTTCGCGGCGGCGGAAAGGCGGCCGCCCGGCACAGACTCCGGAGGCGGGATTGCCACTGACGGAGGCGACACTGGTCTGCCCACCACCTCTCGTGGGCAGAGAAAGCCGAACTAAGCGAACGCTTGTAATTTTGCTGCGATTCCCGAGCGATCCGGATCCATCCGCCGGGTTCCCGAGGTGCTTGCGCGGCGTCCCCCAAAAAAGAACAGACCCATTTGATATCTTCCAAGAACAGCTGCGCCCAATATTCTTTGTGGTGGGCTGTGAGATCCAAGAGTAACCGTAATTGCGGGGGGGCCTGGGGGAGCAATTTGGGCACGTAGCGGAGCCTGATCCTGCGGATGCGGATCTCAACAGCGACCTCTCCAGTATGGCCCAAAACGTCGTCGACCGAGGGTTGGGGGTCATCGGGCCTCGTCCGCAATCGGGCCGCCGCCCGAAGGCCCTTCAGATACGCGGCCTGCAACGATTCGAAAGCATGCGCGTGCAACCGGTGCCATGCTGCCGAATCGAAAAAGCAATCGAGAAGTCCCCAGCGAGTGCAACCACGAAAGTTTCGTGGGCAGCGGCAGTTGGACCCGAGGGAAAACTGAACGCCCCCTCCTCCTCCTCCTCCTCCTCCTCCTCCTCCTCCTCCTCCTCCTCCTCCTTGTATCGAAGACGCCTACGGCAAGTCACCGCCGCCCCCTGCCTTTTTGGAAGCGCCTATGTGGCCGAACGTTGAGGCCAGACCTGCCGAGCTATCGGGCCATGTGTTCCCCGAATCGGTTTGGAAAGCGTTCGGGGTGGCTGGCGGGGGGGGGGATGCGGAGAACGCATATTGGCTGCGGAGGGGGGCTGGTGCCGTGCCGCGCCGGGGCCGAATTGAGGGCGGGGTGGGGCGGCGCGAAGTGAAATGGTCGGGGCGGAGGTGGCGCTCGACTGGCTGTTGAGGATAGCGGGATTGTGAAGACAAGGGTGCCGCTGGGGACAGCTGGGGGCGGAGGGGCATTTGGCTGATCGGGGTAGAAGGGTGGTGAAGACAAGGGGGCCCTTTGGGGCAGAGCTAGAGCTGGGGGCAAAAAAGGCGGGGGCGGGAAGGGGGGTGCGACGCGGAGTGGAATGGTCGGGGCGGAGGGCATTGGGCCAGGGTTCCACTGTGGCGGAGGGGGGTGCTGGGGGGGCGACGCGACGCGGAATATAATGATTGGGGCGGAGGGGAATAGGGGGGGTTCCACTCGGGCGCGGGGGGGCGCTTTGGAGGGGGGTGCGACGCGACGCATTATGGATGGTCTGCGGCTGGGGATCGCTGTGGAGTGGTGGGTGGGCGTGGGGGGGCGGGGGGGTGCGACGCGAGGCGGGGTGAAGTGGTCGGGGCGGGGAAGCATTGGGCGGGGGGGGGGCGCCGGTGTGCGTGTGTGTGGTGTGTGTTGTGTTGTGTTGTGTTGTGTTGGTTGTGTTGTGTTGTGTTGTGTTGTGTTGTGTTGTGTGTTGTGTTGTGTTGTGTTGTGTTGTGTTGTGGTGTTGTGTGTGTGTGTGTGTGTGTGTGTGTGCGACGCGACGCGGAATGAAGTTGTCGGGGCGGAGGGGGCCCGGGCTGCCGCGGGACGCCGGGGGTGGGGTGGCAGGGCCGAGGGGGGGGGGGGCCGGCGAGGAGCGTGATGGTCGGGGCGTCGGGGGCACTGTGCGGGGGTTGCGGGGTTCCGTTGGGGCGCGGGGGGGCGCTAGGCAAGGGGGGGGTGCGACGCGACGCGGAATGGCGTGGTCGGGGCAGAGGGGGCGCGGGCAGGGGTTCCACTGGGCCGCGGGGGGCGCCGGCCAGGGGGGGGGGCGACGCGACGCGGAGTGAAGAGGGTGGGGGTGGAGGGGCATTTGGTCGTGGGGGTCGCTGCGCGGGGGGTGGGCGGTGGCAAGGGCGCGGAATAGAATGGCGGGGCGGAGGGGGCGGAGGTTCCACTGAGCCGTTGGGGTGTGCTGGGGAGGGGTCGGGGGGGGGGCGGGGGGGGGTGGCGACGCGGAATATTATGGTCGAGGCAGAGGGGGCACTTGGCGGAAGTTCCGCTGGGCCTCTAGGGGGCGCTGGGGAGGGGGGGGGTGCGGTGCGACGCGGGATGCAATGGCCGAGGCGGGGGTGGCGCGATGTTCCACTGGACCGCTAGGGCTGGGGAGGGGCGGGGTGGGGGCGAGGGGGGGCGGGCGCGGTCTGGCGCAGACTGGGCAAGTCGGGCGATGGGGCGTTTGGCGGAAGTTCCATGTGCCGTCGGGGCGCGCTGGGGATGTTTTTTTTTTTTTTGGGTGGGGGGGGGGGGGGGCGGGCGGGGGGGGTAGGGGGGGGGTGGGGGGCGCGAGGTGCGGCGCAGAGTGCAATCGATAGTCGTGGGCGGAGGTGGCATTAGCGGAGGTTTCACTTGGCCGTTGGGGCGCTGGGGAGGGTTGGGAAGGGGGGGGGGGCGGGGCGGGGTGCGACGCGGAAGTGATGGTCGTGGCGGAGGGGGCGCTGGGCGGATGTTCTATTGGGCCTCTGGGGAACGCTGGGGGGACAGGAGGGGGGGGGGCGCGGCGCGACGCGGAATGCAATGATCGGGGCGGGGGGTTGGCACTGGGCGGAGGTTCCACTGGGCCGCCAGGGCGCTGGGGGGGCGGGAAGGGGCCGGAAGAAGGGGGGGGGGCGCGGGATGAAGTGGTCGGGGCGGGGGTGGCACTGGGCGGAGGTTCCATTGGGCCGTTGGGGGGGCGGGCAGGGGGGGGGGGCGCGCGGTGCGGGCGCGGAATGAAATGGCCGTGGCGGAGGGGGCAGTGAGTGGAGGTTTCGTTTCGTCTCTGGGGGGCGCCGGGGAAAGCGGGGGGTGCGGTGCGACTCGGGGCAAAATGGCAGAGGCAGATGGCGGGGCGGGGGCGGGTCTGAGGCTAGGGCGGGGCGGGGGGGGGCGGGGGGGCGGGCGCGGTGCGACGCGGAATGAATTATCAGGGCGGGGGCACTGGGCGGAGGTTCCACTGGGCCACTGGGGAATGCCGGGGAGGGGTAGGAGAGGGGCGAGGCGGGCGGGAAGGGGGGCGGGGGATGAGCGGGATGGGGGGGGGCGGGGAGGGAGGGCTGGCGCAGTGCGACGCAGAAGCAAATGGTCGGGGCGGAGGGGGCATTGAGCGGAGGCTGCGCTGGGCAACTGGGGAATGCTGGGGACGGGTGGGGGCGGGGGGGTGCGGTGCGACGCGGAATAAAATGGTCGAGGCGTTGGGGCGCGGGCAAGGGCGGGGCTGGACTGGTGGTGGGGGGGCGGTGCGACGCAGGACAAACAAGTCGGGGCGGAAGGGGTATTGGGCGGAGGTTCCCCGGGGAACGCCGGGGAGGGGCAGGAGGGGGGCGGGGCGGGCGAGGGGGGGGCGGAGGAGGGGCGGGATGGGGGAGCGGGGAGGAAGGCTGGCGCGGTGCGACGCGGAATCAAATGGTCGGGGTGGAGGGGGCATTGGGCAGAGGTTCCTTTTGACTAATGGGGAACGCTGGGGGGGGTGGAAGGGGCGGGGCAGGAGGGGATGCGGTGCGTCGTGGAATGCAATGGTCGGAGCTCTAGACACCCTGTGCGAGAGAATCATCGATTTTTACTTCTCGGGGCCCTCGTAGGGGTGCTGTTGAGAAGGCCTCAGGGGTCGTCTTGGAGGTGTCTGGGGCCGTCTCGAGGTTATTGGCAACGAATTCTAGACGCTTCGCGTATCCCCACCAACCCATCCAGAAACGACGCCCAGGCGAGTAGAGGGCCGTCTTGAGGGACTCTTGGGCGTCCTGGGTGCCTCGGGGAGGCCCCTCGGGGCCGCTTGGGGTCCTCTTGGGGGTCTCTTGGGGGCCTCTTGGGGCCATCATGGGGCCTTCTTGGGGCCATCTTGGTGCCCCTTGGGGCCTCCTGGGCGCCTGTTGGGGCCATCTAGGAGGATATCGATCAAACAAGAGGGGAGCTTTAATTAGGTTCCCCCCTCAGGAGGCCAACATGGGGCCCAAACCTTAGTAAAACCAGTGATTTTGGTTTCCTCGCCGAGGCCGTTTTAGACGCCCTGACACTTCGCGAGGCCCCCTTTCCAGGTCCAGGGGGGGGGTAGGGGGAGGGGTAAACCCCTCCCCGAAGGGGAAGAAGGAGGGGTGGAAGAGGAAACTCCCCAAACCACCGACGCCCAGAGGGCTGGTGGGATTTGAGTTATGCTTCGGCGAGTCGGGGTTCTCTTGGACCGTTCTGGGCGGGCGCAGCGTCCAGAGGATTTGGAAGGAACGCGCCAGAACTCACGGGAGAGGGCGGCCTTGGAAACAACTATGGTGCGGGCCCGTGAATGGCTGGAGCAGCAGCGCAGCCTCTACCTCTCGGTGTTGCGCGAGCCTTGGGGCAATCCACTTCGTGCCAGAGGCACGGTGGCGAATTCTATGGTCTGGTCGGACGCACGCCTCCAACGAGGACACACAGTGCTAGTATGTCCTTTTGCGTCCCCCAGCCTATGGGAACGGGGTCCTGAGGTTTCTCCGTCGTCGTCGGTCGTCGGTCTCTCGGAGCCCCTCCAGGCCGTGGGACCAGCAGGGTGACTGCCCAGGATGAAAGATCTGGTGCAGGTGAGGCCTGGGGCTACCCATGGCCCATTCCCCCTCGGCTGCGCGCAAGAGTGACCCTCCCCTGGAGTGACTCTGGTGCAGGGCTGGACCTATGCGCTGTTTTGCTGGACTTCGGCTGTGTTTTGTTTTTTGGTTTGGTAGGGAGGTACAGGAAGACAGGTCGAGCAAAACGAACAACACGAAAACAAAACAAACAGCAACGTTTAGGTCGAGCCCTGCTCGCGTGCGCGGGGGGGGTCCCGGACACGCAAGCCGTTTTTGTCGCACAGCATGCAGCGAGCGGGAAGCCGCGCATCAGAGGTCACTCTTGCCTGGGGTCACTCTTGCGTGTAGCCGCTTCCCTCAGCCCACCCCTCTTGCCCCTGCGGCCCACGGCAAGCCAGGGCATCCAGGACGCCTACTGCCTCGCAAAGGAGCTGGAGGCCTTTCGAAGCGGGCGCCACGCCAGCATGGCCGACGCGCTGGGAGCTTACGAGGCGACCCGGAAGTTCCCGTGCGCCCGCCTGACTCTGAACAGCAGGATCCTGGGGTTCGTGGAGACGTCGTTGCCCGAGATCGGCAGGGACGCGTTTTTCCGCACGGTAACAGCTCTCGGCATTACTCGGTTTATTTTTCTGGACGGCGCCATGCCGAAGGTTTGAGCTGTGGAGGAGGGGCAGGGGGAGGATGA